CAAGCGTTGGTGGATCCATGATGGAGGTAACGCCTGTTGGACGGGACAGCGCCTCTGCTTCTCCTTCACTTGGTGGCCTCAGAGTACGGCCAACCAACTTACTCAGTTTAAGATGTGCTGATGATGTGCAGCCACTTATAGAAATGAAGGGAAAGATCCCAAATGTTTGGAGAAGCAGTGTAATAATAGTATGAATTTTTAATTTTGATTTGATATTTTGAGGAGACTGTAATAATGTATAATAATACACTTGATTAACTGTTATGTTTGCTGAGATAAATTGTACTTTGTTTAGTTGTTGTAGTGACACACTTTTCAATGTTGATGTGTCTTCAAAAGATAATGTAGCATCTCTAAATGTTCTGCGGCCCGGACAATGAGCGGCCCGATGTGCAAGCAAATCTGAGAGCGTTGCAATTAGTGAGACGGAGCGAGCGCGCTGGAAGAAGACCGACAGGGAAGCGAATAGAATTGAGTACCGCGGTGACTAACGGCATCGACGCGTGCGTCTTTCCTTCAGACGATCATCGCTGGACTGGTTCAGCCTGTCATAAAAGCCACCTGATGTTGCCGTTTCGCCGTTTTCACTCTTGTCAATAACACTTCTTGCGACGGCTCGGTGAAGGTTGGGTGCTCGCCGGGGAATTTATTCACGGCATTACTGTCAGATCCTATTTTGATGTTTATGCGGAGACTTCCTCCAATGGCATACACCTTATCTAGGGACTTACGCCGCTACGTTTCTCCTTTCCTTGTCGTGAAAAGGAAACTGCTAATGTGCATCAAGTGGCAGATAAGGTTGACCTGGGACAATTACACTTAAGAGCGACACCATAAAACCTGATAAGGAAGATAAGGTAGCGCTGGGGCCGATTGAACACGATAAAGGGCTCGTCTGGTCTGGTACGACCTAATGAGACGTTAGCCTGCGCGCAGTTCACTTCTGTGCGCAGAATGACATGAGATGGCTGCTGAGGTCAAATACGAACACGGACTTAACAGCGAATCTGTCCTTCTGTGTTATTAGGACGCGTGCAGGAGGCAAAGCAGGTCCCCGGCGCTCTCTGTTACACACGGCTTCCTCACACCTCATTAAATGGGTTTGAGTAGATTTTCTGAGTGGATTTTTACATTTTTTTTTTAAAACTCAATGGCATTAAGTTTGTGTGCGTTTCCGTCTTGTACCCAAGTGACAAGCCCCCCCCCCCCCTCCCACCAGGACAGCAGGCGAGCTCCAACCCATTTTATTTGACCCTTAATATCGGCTTTGTGTCAGTTGTGTGTAACATGCACCTGCTGTCGATCCTTTTCCCCCTCTGCACGTTGCGGCAGCACCTCGACGGAGGCCGGAGCCGCTCTTCATTAAAACCTTTGCTTCCACGAATAGAGATGCAGGCGTGAAAATCCACTCTGCAGCCCCGAGAGCCAGAACCACTCCCCGCCCGATGCTCTCTGACAGATGTGGCGGCCATAAACAGGTCTGGGTCAATACAGAAGGGCTACTGGACGGGGGGGCTTCTATTCGTCCCCTGAGGATTATGCCCGAGGACATGCGAGCAACCTATTCAGATGTGTGGTGATTCTTATCAATAAAACCAGTAGAGCCTGTTCCTTTTTCTGTAGGGTGCTTTTAGACTTCAGCCGTCGTTGTAGGGGTGTGTGTTTGTTGTATCTTACACCGCTACTTCGTTAGAGTTACTTTTTCATCTTTCCGAGCAGAAACTATTCCGCTTTTTTGTTTTTTAATATTATTGCATTTTGAATTTTTTTATTTTAAAATTGCTGGTCATACAAAAGAAACAAGATTTTACCTTGAGGTTTAAAAAAACTGGACTAAATGGATCGTGGATTTATTAATTTAAGAAAATGAGCCACGGACTCATTGATTTAAATAATTCTCAGTTTCAGCTCTTGTTTGTATTTCTTTGACTTAAATTCCACTGTGCTTATTTTGCACGTTAACCGTGGTGACGGATCGCCTTACAGCGTCCACGGCCTTGTCTCTTTATCCAGTGTGTCTGTTGAGTTATCAGCATGCGGATTGTGACAAAGCGGGATAGTCGCTGAATAGTGAGACGGTGTGACAGGACGCGCGTGTCATCAAACCCGAGTCCTTATTGGGAGCTTGGCAGTAGCTGAATGCGCTCTTATAGTCCGTCCGCCCCCCCTGTCCCTTCCGGAGCCAATTTAAATATTTATACATAATGAAATGTCCAGTGTAATCTAATTGTTCAGTTTCAGAGTCACCTAATTCGCTAATGCACCATTTGAGCTATTGCATCTCCGCTCAGGTTAGCATTGGATGTTTGCTTTATCGATCTTCATCCACGGGGCCTTTTTTCCCCCCCCCCTGTTTGTGGCCGATGCTTTTCCATCGAGGAAGAATCTGCCGTTTGCTGTTGACATGCTGGCACTTGACTTTCGGACACTTTTCCTTTACTTGCTCAACGTTGGCATTGAATTGCCATGTTTGACAGTGAGGTATAGATAATGCTAAGCTTACATTAGCATTTCTTGTTTGGCGTCTCGCTCCATATTTCTGAGCTGTGCACTGCGATCACGAAACTCAGAAACGAAGCAGGCCTCGTGCTCCAACCCTCGTTCTATTTCACAGCGATTTTGCCACCAAATCAACGGCCGTTCAATAGTTCTTATCCTTACGACCCCAGGGCTTGGTCTACCTCTTCATTTTATTTAGTCAACATTGCCAACATTGCTTTTGGAGAATGATCTCTGAGGCCCAAAGATGGCTTATGCAGGTGCTTGCAACCAGGTTTCCAGTGTTTATTTACCCAAGAGGCCCGCAACCTTGAAACTGAGCATTAGCCCGCCTCTCGTGTATAATCGATCCTGGATGGGCACAGGTGATAGATTGGCACTAGCAGAAGCCAGCCAATTTATACTGTTGACTCTGTGACCTGTAACCCCGAAGGTAGGCGCCACAGCACTCTGAAGGTCCTCTGCGGGCTAATTTGTTTTGTAAATTGTTCCTTACTTGCATTTTCTATTTTGCCTGCGCAGCCCTTTTTGTATACGGGCGTTTTATTCTTCATGCCGTCCCCTTTTGTCCTCTTCTTACACGTGTGTTCGCTACAGCATATCTGGATTGCTGGCACATTTGTAGAATATTTGTTCCGAGCACACAGATGATGGATAAACTGGCAGAGACCACTGCGTCTGATTCGAGCCCATGAACACGGAGGTGTCGATACAGGAAAAAAAGGGGCATCGTGTCCTTGGATGCCGTTGCACTTCCTTCTTCCCACTCTCTCCCTTCGTTCTCTGGCAGCCAGGTCCGTCCGGGCCGGCTGAATCAGTCGGTGTGTGTGCCGTGCGGGTGGGAGATGGTGAACCTGATAGCAATGCTGAGGAACATGTCGGCTCATGCATGGGGGAGCATTATGTTAGCCTTCGGGTTCCTGTCTGGTCGGCAGAGCCCATGGGAAATATTTCACTACGAGTGGCTGTGAATTTGACATTTTATGTTATTTAACTGCTTAAGAAAAGCAAATGATTGTGTAAGCTGCAGTTATTTTGGCCCCAGATGCATGAATCACATTTACAAGTGAGGCTATTCTTTGATCTCCCCCTGTTGTCAGAAGCAGACTTTGGGCAGCTCGCCGTGCAGGTGGCTGTCATTTACACATTCCTTGGGTCTTTGATGAGACCTTAATGGTAATCCGTTCCCTCAACCCACATGTTGCTGGTCTTTGTATAAAATTAAGCAGATCCCTGCCTGCATAACCTTGATAATTTATAGGCACCGTAATAGCTACACGTACTTGAGCAACTGTAATTGGAGGAAAAAGGCTTCGGCACAGGCTTGTTTACAGCTTCAGTTTAATGAATCATTTATTTGATCAAATTAAAAATTCTAGTGCATTATTTAGTGTGCTCATTGACCATTCACATACACAATCACCATCTGAGACGGTGCATTTAAGGAATGTATGTTCGTACAAACATGTTTGAGCTTGCTGACGGAAAAACAAAACCTTAAAGTCACATTAAATCAAATGTCCTATGATTTAAACCTGGAACAAGAATAATATGACTTGTGTACATTATTGTTAAAAAATAATTTGTCGGTAAAATAAAATCAGTAAAATATCATTTCTCCTTTTGAGGGAATCTAGAGGACTATCGGTACTATAGATACACCAGATATGTACTAATGCTCGTGCCCTAATTAAGAAGCACTCATACAACCACGTTGTATTAAGTTAATGTTTGAATGTCTCTACTTTTAAGTTCGGAAGCAATGTGCAGTTACAGGATGTTTCACACCCAACCAACCCAATACCCGACAATTTCCCCTGTCCACCTCATCTCCAGGGGTAGTCCAGCGTGTCTCTGGCTCCTCACCCGAGTCTGTCCCCTGCGAGATACTTGCGTGGGTGCGTTTAAGCGCGTGGGTGCACATATCATCCTGCCATCTGCATCGCAACAAGGCAGCTCAGCCAATAAATCATAGCGCGGCATTTTGCTCCTGGCTGTCCACATTTTGAAATTGTTCATCCTCGGCGAGTGACCACCTGGGAGGGTAGAGAATTAAGTTTATAGTCCCCATTTTGGCCCGTTGACGCCCGTCACACTTTTAGCCGTCCGCTCTCTGAGTTATGGGCCAGTGCTCGACAGTAGAGTGCTTTTCGAGTCTTTAATTTGCTGCACCACTGTAGCAACTCTAATCTCTTAATACCTGACCTCTGGGTGGAATTAAGGCCTCCTCAGACTTTAACATTTATGGCCACAACAAATTCTATGTGATCGCTGTAGCTTTGCTGCACGGGAAATAATATTGTTTATTCATTCCAATATGTTGCAAGTACTGGCTCACATTTTACGTTAAAGTAATTCTTGTTTCTTTTTTATATTTGTTAGATTAAACTGCGCCTGTTCGGTGTCTAATTTGTGAAATTGAAATGCGTACCTTGAACACCCTTTCTCTCCTCTTTCTATCTCTTCCCGTCTCCACCCACCTCTGCTGCTTGGCCCTCCAGCTCGGCGGCGATGAGAGAAGAGTAGACAGTAGGACTATCTATGTCGGTCATCGGTCATCTTCCCCTGGTGAGCCTATCATCAAGTTCTGCGATAACAGGATCGTGTCTTCCAAGGTAAGAAACGCACACACAGGATCTCCTTCCACAGGATGGAATTCATGTCCCTTTTTAGTTTGCCAACTTCTCTCTGTATTCTGTTCACCAGCCTTCAAGCATTTTTCTTTCTTAGTGAGAATGACACTCGGAATGAACTCTCTGTGTCCCTTCTTTGTTCCTCCGCCCACTTTCTCTCCACGCGCTTCTCTTCCCTCCGAACGGAAGTCAATTATTTGTGTGTCCCGCTGGCCTCCGATAGACCACGCCCCCCCTCCCCCCTAACCCCCAACCCCACAGTCCCTCAGTGTCCGCTGCAGGCTCAGGCCAAGTGGCTTATAGATATGAGGAAGGTGATGAGGAGGGTGGAAGCGGTGTGAGAGTAGGACGGCAGTGGGGATTTATAGTGGTGCAGAGCGTCCCATTGAGGATGGGCCAATCAATTTGCTCCTGCCAGTATGTCAGGGTAACCAGCCTTTAATTACCCCGGCTGTAGTGTTGATGCTTCCGCATGCCTCTGCTCTCCATCATCCTGTTGCTTCGCGCAATGACCCCACCCTCTCTCCCACCCGCGTTGTGGTCCTGCATCGCTGCGCTCTCTGCTGCCGCCCCCCTTTTTCCCCATTACTTTCACTCTCTCTTCTGTCTGGCAAAATGAGATGGGCCCTTGTGCTGCCGCTGCATTTCAACGCTATCCCCATGCAGATGTTCCCTGTCATAAACGCTGCCTTAATGCGGTTTTCCCTGCAGGTGTGTGTGTGTGTGTGTGTGTGTGTGTGTGTGTGTGTGTGTGTGTGTGTGTGTGTGTGTGTGTGTGTGTGTGTGCATGCTCTTGTGTTAGTTGGGGGGGGGGGGGGGGGGGGATTGGTGGCACCGAGTTACTGGCAGCATGTTGTCGAGCCGTCTCTCAGGGATTTAAGGAGATAAAAGTGTTGCTTCATGGCCACTTATAACAGAATAAAACGCTCAGTAGAAGTCCCCGGCATGATAAGTTCATTGGGGCTGTGTTCAAGGGTAGCCAGATTTAGGAGATAAATCGCTAATCTGAATCAATGGAATACCTGTGGTCCCTCAAGGGCCTTCTGCCTCAGCAGAAGAAAGAATTGGGTCTCGGAGCGATTGAAGTTGCCTTTCCTCGCTCCCCCCTGCGCGGCTCAGACAGAACACACACATACGCAATAGTCTGTAAATATTCAATGGCTCTAATCTCTCTTCCCTCTCAGGAGGTTTTTGTTAACCTCCTGAGATTCTCTACGCTTGAATGGGAGAAATTATGCAGAAAAGAGCCTCAAAAAGCAATCCCCAAAGTCTAATACCTGTTTTCTTTTTCTGTGACCTACATGCATGTTTTTCTTTCTCCCACAGTATACGGTTTGGAACTTTCTACCAAAGAACCTCTTTGAGCAGTTTAGAAGAATCGCCAATTTCTACTTCCTTATCATTTTCCTGGTGCAGGTAAGGACAATACTGTTTGTAATCATTGTTGAATCAAGTTTTCAATCACAATGGGTTAATGTGTCTCAGGATGGCTTCACTACCTGTGTCACAATGTGTTAGTCCCCTGTGTGCGTGTGCGTAGGAGTGTGAGAAACAGGGGACATTTGCATGTGGCCACAGCAGGTGTGAAACGGATACTGGATGAGTGAGCTGCAGAAGTGGGTTCATCACGGCAGCTTACGCAGATGGCTCATATTGTTTAGCTATCTGTTACTTTACTGTCCCACAAGCCCTTTTAAACACATCGTTTGGGGAAGGAAATAATGCCTTGGTACTCTCGTAACATGCAAAGACACTCATGCATGAACTGACATTGAGCTTGTGTAGTTCTGTGGGACATATCCATCCCAGATGTAAGTCAGCTGTATGGAACTGTGAGATCATGTGATAAGCAATTGATAGATTTTGACTGACCAAAAGGCTTTGACTGGCATCCTTATTTCCTCACTCTGTGGTCCTAAGTGACCTCTCCTCCCTCCTATCCGGCAGTTGTTGGCTGCTTGCATTCGCTCTTCTATCATCTTTGTTCCTTTTCAAATCCTCAGAGATGGAAACTAGCGTCTACCCTGTTAGCAGTAACCCAAACAGCAGACCCAACGCCAGCACCTGTTTACACTACAGGTAAACAGGTGCTGGCGTTGGGTCTGCTCTGGAGGGATGTGCTCCATCTAGTCGTATGCTGACTGAATGAGCTCACGGTGCTGCTCCCTGTGCTCCAGCAATGTACTTTTGTAAGTCAAAAGCAGATCAAACCCAGACTTTATTTTTCCTCCCGGTCGTTGTTTCCACGTTTATTTACAGTTGACAGCCTAATTTTTTTCCGGTTTGTTTGCTTTAACTCCCTGGCATCTTCCGCTAATGGATAATGGTTCTGGGTTTTTTGACGTCTGTGAGCTAATGTGTGAAATTATCGTGAGCAAATGCAGTTCACTTATATGGGAGTAAACCGCCGAGCATGTTTGCATCACTCTCACAAACAGCCAAGGATTATCAGTGTGCAGTGCCATGTGTGTTTGTGTGTGAATACGTTGTATGCATGCATGGGGAGCGTGTTTGTGCATGCGGTTGTTTGACTTGGTGGGTGTCCTGGGTTTGCTGAGGGTGTTTACCCAAGCTGCATCCTGAATCAGGAAACATTTATTGGCCAAAATATGTCAAACATACAAGGAATTTGTCTTGGCGGTTAGTGCGCGACAGTAGACAGACAAGACAACAGTGCACAGGTAATAAAATAAGGGTGAATGAAATGCTAATGCCAATGGGTTAGTAAGAATAAGGCTAAAGGCTATGGGTTAGTAAAAAAAACAAAGAGAATAAAGTTAAACAAATTTTAAATATTAAAAAGTTAAAAAGAAAAGTATTAAGCATAAAGTGCACTAACAAACAAGTAACAGACAAGAGACAAAGTGACAAGTGACAAAGTGATGAATTGCAGTTAAAGTGGCATGTGCAGTGTGAGGGGGAGTGACCGGTGGAGTGTTATAGTCAGGCAGTGGGGGACCGGGCTCTGTTGATGAGCCCGACTGCCGACGGGAAGAAACTGTTCGTGTGGCGGGAGGTCGTAGTCCTGATGGACCTCAGCCTCCTGCCAGATGGAAGGGGCACAAACAGTTTATGTCCGGGGTGGGAGGGGTCGGCCGCGATCTTTTTAGCTCGCTTCAGAGACCTGGAAGCGAACAAGTCCTCCAGGGACGGCAGATTGCAGCCGATCACCCTCTCTGCAGAGCGGATGACACGCTGCAGCCTGCCCTTGTCCTTGGCTGTGGCTGCAGCGTACCAGACGGTGATGGAGGAGCAGAGGATGGACTCGATGATGGCCGTGTAGAAGTGGACCATCATCGCCTTTGGCAGGTTGAGTTTCTTCAGCTGCCTCAGGAAGAACAACCTCTGCTGAGCCTTCTTGGTGATGGAGCTGATGTTCAGCTCCCACTTGAGGTCCTGGGTGATGATGGAGCCCAGGAAACGGAAGGAATCCACAATAGTGACGGGGGAGTCACACAGGGTGATGGGGGAGGTTGGGGCTCTGTTCCGCCGGAAATCCACAACCATCTCCACTGTCTTTAGAGCGTTGAGCTCCAGGTTGTTCTGGCTGCACCACGACACCAGATGGTCAGACTCCCACCTGTAGGCGGACTCGTCCCCACCAGAGATTAGTCCAATGAGGGTGGTGTCATCCGCAAACTTCAGGAGCTTGACGGACTGGTGGCTGGAGGTGCAGCTGTTGGTGTACAGGGAGAAGAGCAGAGGGGAAAGAACGCAGCCTTGGGGGGAACCGGTGCTGATGGTCCGAGAGGCTGAGACATGTTTCCCCAGCTTCACGTGCTGCTTCCTGTCAGACAGGAAGTCTGTGATCCACTTGCAGGTGGAGTCGGGCACGTGCAGCTGGGAGAGTTTGTCCTGCAGCAGAGACGGGATGATAGTGTTAAAAGCAGAGCTGAAGTCCACAAACAGGATCCTGGCGTAGGTTCCTGGGGAGTCCAGATGCTGGAGGATGTAGTGGAGGGCCATGTTGACAGCATCGTCCACAGACCTGTTGGCTCTGTAGGCGAACTGCAGGGGGTCCAGGAGGGGGTCGGTGAGGGACTTCAGGTGGGACAGGACTAGCCGTTCAAAAGACTTCATGACTACAGAGGTCAGGGCGACGGGCCTGTAGTCATTGAGTCCTGTGATCCTGGGCTTCTTGGGGACAGGGATGATGGTGGAGGCCTTGAAGCAGGCTGGTACGTGGCATGTCTTCAGGGAGGTGTTGAAGATGTCAGTGAACACCGGAGACAGCTGGTCAGCACAATGCTTCAGGGAGTGAGGGGAGACGGAGTCCGGACCGGCTGCCTTACGGGGATTTAGTCTTCTAAAGAGCCGGTTAACGTCTCTCTCCAGAATAGAGAGGGTCGTTGCTGGTGGGGGAGGGGAAGGTGATAATGATGAAGAGGCGTGAGCACCTGATGGGCTGGGGGAGGGAGGGGAGGGGGACTGCGGCAGGTTGGTGGAGCTGTGGGGGATGGGAACAGGACATTGTCTTTCAAATCTGCAGTAGAACTCATTGAGCTCGTCTGCCAGGCGGAGGTCATTCATGGAGTGGGGGGTTTTTGGCTTGTAGTTGGTGAGGTGTTTGAGGCCTCTCCAAACCGAAGCAGAGTCACTTGCTGAGAACTGTTGTTGGAGTTTCTCAGAGTACAGTCGTTTAGCGTCTCTCACCGCCTTGCTAACACTATCCTGCTATTGTATCAGAGAGGAGGGGGCAGGTACGAGACGGAAAATAAACCGCCTCACTTTCCCTTCATGCAAATGCTCTACCAACAACCCAATGTCCTGCATCCTCGCATCTGTTGTGTTTCTTTGCGTCGTTCTTTCTCCCCTATCCTCTCGCTCGTTCCACCCGTCCCTCTGCAGCGCTGCCCTGCTGACGTCAGCAGACAGGAAGCCCTCCTGTACGTCTCAGTGCCACAAATAGACACATGCAGGCTGATAAAAAAGCACCACTCTGCTATAAATAGCCCGGTGTGTCTGGGCTTGGAATTTGATCGAGTGAGAACAGTGAGCGCAGCGAAAGAGTAGGAGAAACCGGGGTAAGAGAAAGAAAGGGGGCAGAAAGACCAAGATGGGAAGGCGCGAGGGCCCGCTGCGCCAACTCGGGGACCCGCTGCCCGTCGCTCACTGTGACACACCTCCCGGCCCGGGCGAGCGGCTTTGTGCCGCTCTGTTCTGCTGCTCTGATATCACTCCAGCAGCACACAGTTCACTCCTGCTGCTGAGATGTTTGGGCTTTGCATTTGGTGCCGAGGAGGAAAGGAGGAAAGGGTATCGGGCCATCTGGAAGTTTCAAGTCAATTGGTGCAGATGAACGGTGGCAGAGTGGTGCGTTATTTACAGTACAGTTGTTGAAGGTTTTCTGAAGGTTTTTCGTTTTCTCAGGAGGTTGCTGTCTCAGTAGTTCCAATGCGTCAATGATAACTTCTCCTCTAATGTGTCAATATTTTCACCCTGTTCCCAAAATTGATGACCGTCCCTGATACAGTTATGTCGGTGAAGCTCAAGTCTGATGGTTTGAAATGGAAGAAAGTGCATTTTTAGAATCGTTGTTTATGAACTGATACTAAAAACAGACAAGTGTGAAATGAAAGCAAGCGCTTTTTTAGACTCATTGTTTATGAACTGATACTAAAAACAGACACCGTCATTTATCTCTTTTTATAGTCCCCCACTGTACGGTTGCGATCGAAATTGTCATAAAAGCACCAGAAATGAGTCTAACTGGAGTGAGATTTCTGCTGAGTGTTGGCGTTGTCAAGCATTCGTTGCCGCTGTCGCCCTTTGTCGAGGTCGCCCATCTGGCCGAGGGGTGAGCCGCTGTGTGATCAGTTAAGATCCAATCACCTTTCTCCGACGTTCGTCGGAGGATCTGGTCACGACTAGGGTTGGGTACCCAGAACCGGTACCAATATGGCACCGGTTCCTATACGACCGGTATCTACCGTACCCAAACGCGGTGCTTGCCTTTTGAAAAACGTTATTTACACACTCTTAAGGACACCATCCTCGCAGCTGCTAATGATGGCCTACTGCTTGTGTAGCTACAGTATAATATATTATAATATTATAATAAATACACATAATATATTGTTCAATCTGAAGTACCGGTTTAGCACCGGTATCGGAAAAAACCCAAACGATACCCGTCCCTAGCCATGACAAACAGTAAAAGGGCTACAATGACCGGAGTACATCAAGCTGCTCACAAGAACACATCGATGTTCCACTCGCAACCGGGCCGACGGCAATCAGGAATCAGGAAACATTTATTGCCATAATATGTCAGACATACAACGAATTTGGTGACAAGTGAAAGTGACGTGTGCAGTGAGAAAGAAAGTGACCGGTGGAATGTCAGAGTCAGTCAGTGGGGGACCGGGCTCTGTTGATGAGCCCGACTGCCGACGGGAAGAAACTGTTGGTGTGGCGGGAGGTCTTAGTCCTGATGGACCTCAGCCTCCTGCCAGATGGAAGGGGCACAAACAGGTTTTGTCCGGGGTGAGAGGGGTCTGCTCCGATCTTTTTAGCTCGCTTCAGGGTCCTGGAAGCGAACAAGTCCTGGAGAGACGTGCAAAGAGTCTTTAACACAGAGGCCCATCAGCCGCCCTCTTGTGCACACGCGCACTGTTCTTTTGAAGCATTGAGCGCTCTCACCTCGGGCTCACCTGAGGCTTCTGCTGCAGAATCATTACTTTTGCTTCCGTCTCACTGGAATCGCCAATCTCGACAAATATAGTGCAGACTCGTCTGAATCTGCACCCGTCCTAAGGGGCGATGCGCACTAGTCTCCGCTTTTTTAAATGGATTGATCCTTGAGTTAATTGTAGTCACAGTAAAGCTTTGGCGTGACCGTAGCTCACTTAGAATTCCAACCAGCTGTGTGCGTTGTGTCCGCGTGTCGCACCACAACTTCAGGGGGCGAACCGCGCCGCATTCTACAGGATCACAAATGCCCGGGTAAATCCATCTTCTGATGGCTTTAAGGAACATACAAACGCACAAGTTTGTTGTGGGCTGAAGCTGGGAGCCTCGGTGAGGCGGTGCTCGTGAACCAATCCTTTGGGATTACCCGACCACACGTGTTGAGAGCACTCGCACCAATACATCTCGGGCCGTACTATGCGAGTCCCTCGCGTAATCCTCGGCCAGGTGAGGTGAACCGCTGGGTTCACCTCACCTGCCTCTCTCACGGGCCTTGGCAGAGACACCGAGGTGCTGGCACGCCTGCAGATGAAGCAATCTGGCCCACTTGATTAAAAGTTCTTGGTCCAGAACCTTGTTCGCTCCATTTCAAAATGTAAATGCCTCCCCTGTTTCCTGCTGATGAAGAAATTTGGGGAGTAGTAGAATGGAAACAGTGGATACCCTGCATTTAGAGGACTCGCCCTTTCCTCTCTAGCGTCGCCACGCACTCCATCCTCCGTAACCACACAACTCTCACGCGCACACACACACTCCAGTGCTAGTAGTTAATGCAGAGCTTTTCAGTTGGAAGGCCACGTGTGTTGTTACATGAGCGATGTTACATCTCTCTGAAATGACTGTTTTCTGTCTCCCCCGCCCCAAATAGGTGATAGTGGACACCCCCACCAGCCCAGTCACCAGCGGCCTGCCCCTATTTTTTGTGATCACAGTAACCGCCATCAAGCAGGTAAGACGCTGCCTAATGATGCTAAGTGTTGATTTCCTTTTTTCTATTGGTATTTCTATTGCCATGTCATTTCCTCATAATGCTCCTCAGTGCATTCTAAACTTACTCTCTCTGTACAACACAATGAGTCCTCCTGCCTTCATAACCCCCTGCTGTGATTGTTGTATAAAGTACGTAACTAATGCTTTCTTGGGTTTTGTAATAATGTGCTCGGCTGGTGAATTCTGATTTGGGCAGCGACCAAATGGGCTCTGTGGGAATGTGAGCAGAGAGAGAGAGAGAGAGACACTGCCAAAGAGTCAGAAACTCCATCAGGCTCCATTTCTTTGGCTCTGTGGCTTCCATGTGCCAGATTTTAGATGTATTGTTCTAACATTGTCTTTGAAATGCACAATAGTGGGTGTGCTTCCTTATGAAAATATATACATGTACATGTAGCTGTGATTCACTGATAACGCAGTCAGCCAGGCTTTGAAGTGGGACAGGAGGCGCTCGGCCCGACTCTATTAGTCAGCCAGAGGTGAACCGTACAGTTCAAGTGACCGTCCGTGGAATGCCTCCCCTCTTCCTCTTCATCCCACTGGCATCGGTTCTCTGCATCACTCAACCAGACTCTCTCTGTCTCTCTCCCTCTCATCCCCTTTCCTGGTAATTCTACTATCTAGCGCGGGGACCGCCTTGGCTCACACTCTGGTGTCTCTCTCTCTCTCTCTCTCTCTCTGCCCTTTACATCTTTGCACTGTCTCTCGAACACCATCGGAGAATTCCTCCGCTGGCATTGATTATCCCCTAAAAAGTGTTCATCAAATATTTATGTATTTATTAACTCTTATCCGTGAAAATGGGCCTCATGGGTGCAACCAGGGAAACCCGTTTGAGTCTGGTATAATATAATTAAAGTAGAACCGGAGGAGGTTGATAAACAGAAAACCGTTTCTTAGCTGGTTGTAAGCTGCTGTAAAGCAAATCGGTAATATTGGCCCATTTCATCTTCTTTGCATATCACCTCCTCTGTGGGCCTCCTCCTTATTGAATCCCTGCGATCGTTTCGAAAGTAGGCCATACAGCATGTCTTGCATGATTAGAAAAATTATGTTAATTAAATTAATACCCAAATGCAAAGATCCTACCTCCTTCTCTTGATGAGATGGCCTGTCCCATACTTAGACAACTATGTTGTTTTATCAAACAAATAACAACATTCTGCTTTGTAATGTTTCTGACGTAGGGCTATGAGGACTGGCTGCGGCACAAGGCGGACAATGAGGTGAACAAGTACCCAGTGACGGTGCTGGAGCAAGGCGAGAGGACACGAAAGGATAGTGAGAAGATCAAGGTACCTTTTCAGCAGCCGCATCCACTGGGATACATGTTTCCCTAAATGCATGGCCAGTATGAAGCTGCTGTTTGAACACTCAGACACACACGGGAGAAAATGCTCTGCCTGCTGATCTTATTAGTTGTTCAAACAATGGGTGTCATGGTAATTCATGTATCCAGGTTGTCGTGTGCAGCTTAGTCCTTCAATCTATTTCTACTTGTTGCGCATGGAAAAGGCGTTGAGAATCTACATCCAGCTGTAGAAACCAGAACACTGCTGCTTTGTGAGAAACTTTGTACAGCTGTTTCCCGCACAGCAGCTCACACACGCTGAGTGTAGGCTACCTCCCGGTGCTAACTGGACAACAGCTAAAGTAAACAATTAACAAGCCAGGGCAAAAAGGAGAACGAATGCTGATCAGTTTTCACACTCATGTACATTGTGCGTTCTGTTTCTTGAAGTAGACGTGCAAACAATAAATCCGCCACTAAATTGAAAGGAAACTGACGGCGGGGTGTTTATTTTTGAGTGACTCTGCTTCCTCAGGCTAAAGCTGTGATCTTTTAAACTTCTGTCAGTCGTCCTGTGCCAAATCCTACTGATCTGGGGCCAAGGAAAGAGGAGAAAACAAACTGTGAAAAGTTGTGTTTGGTTGTTTTGCTTTGATCAGGTTGGAGATGTTGTGGAGGTGGAGGAAGATGAGACCTTTCCCTGTGATTTAATACTGCTGCAGTCCAGCCGTGATGACGGCACGTGTTACGTAACCACAGCGAGTCTGGATGGGGAGTCCAACCATAAAGTAAGATGGGCCTCTCTGCTTTTCCAAGTATTTTTAATCAAAATGTTGATTTGGAAGAAAAAACCTTTCATGAATGTATATCATTTTTATAAACATGAAGCCTATTATGCAATGGAAAGTGGGTAGATCTCTATCTTAAATAATAGTGTAGTTTTGATAATTAGTTGGGAGTTTCTTCTCTTCATATTGTTATCAACAGTGTTTTGTAGAACAGTCCAACTTCCTCTCTTAGTTCCTCATGAATATGTGTTTGTGAGGAATGTGGAAGGGCAAACGTGATAACCAATGATCTCTGCATGTCCCCCTCCCCTCTGTCTCCGTCTCTCTTCCTCTCGTACAGACACATTACACAGTGTCCGACACAGAGAAGGATCTGGAAACTCTCAACGCCACCATCGAGTGTGAACAGCCACAGCCTGACCTTTACAAGTAGGAACTAACCACGTGGCCCCTACAGATTTACACCACCAGCATGTGGGCCTCGTGTTTGTTGGGCACTGAAAGCCAGTTGAAAATGTCCTGAATGACTAATGTCGACATGTCGAACGTTTTTAAGTGGAGAGGTCCCGGCAAGCCTCGGTGGGCGCTTCGCATTAGGATTGGCGGTGGTGGGCTCGGTGTCTCCGGTAATCTTAGGACTCTCGGCTGAGTCAACAGACAGCCTTTGGCTCCAACTCGGGGCAAAGGGACGGACTATTGCCGCTTAGGCGGACATCCCAGTGGTGTTTGAGACCGGCTAGGGGCGAGTAATCCGTGGTGCCAAATGCATGCTATTCATAGTCCATAAAACTGACGGCATGCTGATGGGTAACTACCACTAATCAGCCGACTCCTGAGCCTCCGCACCGAAGTACTGAATTTTATCTAAAGTAGATGTCACTTGGATAGATTTGAATACCTTAAGACTTCCAATCATATTGAAAAATATAAACAGTCCATGTATTTTTTTCCCCCCAGGTTTGTTGGCCGAATGCACATCTACAAAAATGACCAGGAGCCGGTTGTGAGGTGAGAGAACTCGCGCACAACAATCTCAGCCCACTTTAAGTGGGAGCAAAATTTTAAAAAAGCTGTTGCTTAAACACCCGTTAGTTTCCCGCCGTATCACCAGCAAATCATTATTCTGCCGGCAAACATTAAAATTAAAACAGGCTGGCCTGGCGTTAGCCACTGCTTGCTAAGCACTCCCACAGGCGTTGACTGCTTTGTAATGAGCATACAGACAAAAGCCAGTGTCCTCTCAAGAACACTGTAAGCGGTGTCTGCTCGGACTACAGTCCCACTGTGAGTTGTCACTGCGTATTTTAGCGCCGAGGCCAGCTTGCCCGACAGGTTCCCATTTGGAGGATTGTGCGGATTGCACAGCTTCTGTAATGTTGATCTACTGATGTGATGTTTCAGGTCTTTGGGCCCAGAAAACCTGCTGCTGAAAGGGGCGACTTTAAAGAACACTCAGAGAATTTATGGTGAGTCAAATGATATTGACTCTCTAGCAATACAGTTTTTCTTTGCTGTGAAGACAGCCTGAAGGGCCAATTCTTCCTCTGCTCTCCTTTTCTCTCGCAAGGTGTTGCCCTTTACACTGGCATGGAGACAAAGATGGCTCTCAACTACCAGGGAAAGTCTCAGAAACGCTCTGCTGTGGAAAAGTATGTTAACACGAAATTATGTTACAAATTTGTGACGTGATGGTCATTAACTTTTTTTTTATTTTTTATTTTTTTTTATAGGTCAATCAATGCCTTCCTTCTGGTTTACCTTTGCATATTGGTGAGCAAGGCCCTAGTGTGCACCATACTTAAGTATGTGTGGCAGAGCAGGCCTGGACAGGATGAGCCGTGGTACAACGAGAAAACCCAGCGAGACAAGGAAACCAATCTGGTGAGTGCTTATTTCAGCAATCCCGCCTGTCGTTGTTTTCAAAGTGTCCGGCTACTTCAAACCAAGCTGTACACAAATAACCACTTGGGGAAGAATGGCACACTGAGGCAGGCTAATAAAACTAAGCGGAGCCCCAGCGGACCTATACTGTTAAATGGTTCATTTTATTGGCTGCTAACCGTCCCCCACCCTAGCCCTCGATGACAATGACAATTGTGATTTCCAACAAGTCTTCACGATTTCTTTTTTTTTTTAAGGCATAATCAGGACAATTTAAGCACATGATGCATTTTAAGAATGATGATGTGAAGTTAGGATATGCATTTAAATGTGTGCCTGTTTTTTTTTACAACAGTACCTAAAGATGTTCACCGACTTCTTGTCGTTCATGGTGCTTTTCAACTTCATCATTCCCGTATCCATGTATGTGACGGTTGAGATGCAAAAGTTTTTGGGATCCTTTTTCATCACATGGGACAAAGACTTCTTCGATCCAGAAATCAAGGAGGGAGCACTGGTCAACACTTCCGACCTCAATGAGGAGCTGGGACAGGTGAGGCAACGAGATACGGTTGAGTCCATTAAAATGTGGTCTCCAGACCTATTAGAACAGAGCAACTGTGAAATATAAACGGCTTATAATAACACCAGATTGGCTGTGCTGTCCTTACTTCTCTCTTTTTATGGAACATCTAATTCAAACAGTGCTGCCGTAGATCAGTCACACATGGTTGGCCCGACGATTACTTCAATTAAAGTTAATGCTTCGTTTAACTGATTAATGCACTGTAATTCTTTTCTAATCTTATTGTTGGAAACTGCTAAATTGTACAACCGAATCTTTAATGGTTTTGGAGAGCCGATTATGCATTTCTATTACGTTGCCGGCAGGTGGAGTACGTCTTTACAGACAAGACGGGAACCCTCACTCAGAACAACATGGAGTTCATAGAGTGCTGCATCGATGGCTTCCAGTACAAGTACCGGGACGCCAGCTCGGAGTTGGACGGATTCTGTGTCGCAGATGGACCTGTGAACAAAGTGCAGGAGAAAGCTGGCAGGGTGAGTGTTGTGGTGTCCCTCCATCTGTTGTGAAAGTCCCACTCGCAACAACATACGGCCGTTGCATAGCTCGCTGCTCAGAAAGACCCTTCGTAGATTACATTACATTACATTACATGTCATTTAGCTGACGCTTTTATCCAAAGCGACGTACAATAAGTGCATTCAACCATAGGGTACAAACTCAGGAGAACAAGAAACAAGAAAGTGCAATTTCCTCAAATAAGCGAATTTACAATTTGCTATAGATGAGTGACGTCACAAGTACAATTTAAGTGCTACAATTTGTTAGTCTTTAGTCGAGGTAGAGTCTGAAGAGGTGTGTCTTTAGTTTGCGGCGGAAGATGTGAAGGCTCTCTGCGGTCCTGGTGTCTTCAGAGAGCGCGTTCCACCATTTCGGCGCAAGGACAGCGAAGAGTCGAGACCTAGTCGAGTGTTTTGCTCTCAGTGAGGGAGGGACGAGTAGTTTTGCAGATGCAGAGCGGAGAGTGCGGGTTGGGATGTAGGGTTTGACCATGTCCTGGATGTAAGCTGGACCCGATCCATTCACAGCATGGTACGTGAGCACCAGTGTTTTGAACTGGATGCGGGCGGCCACCGGTAGCCAGTGAAGAGAGCGGAGGAGTGGAGTAGTGTGGGAGAATTTCGGAAGGTTGAAGACCAGTCGAGCTGCTGCATTCTGAATGAGCTGCAGAGGTCGAATGGCGGTGGCAGGGAGACCTGCCAGGAGGGAGTTGCAGTAGTCCAGGCGGGAGATGACAAGAGCCTGAATCAGTACCTGCGCTGCCTTCTGAGTGAGAAGGGGACGTATTCTCCTGATGTTGTAGAGCGTGTATCTACAGGATCGCGTTGTCGCAGTGATGTTGGGAGTCAGGGAGAGTTGGTTGTCGAGTGTGACGCCGAGGTTCTTAGCAGTCGAAGTGGGCGTTAGCACAGAGTTTCCAAAGTTGACTGTCAGGTCCTGGGTAAGCGAGTCTTTTCCGGGAAAGAGAAGTAGTTCAGTCTTGTCGGGGTTGATTTTCAGATGGTGGGCGGACATCCACTGAGAGATGTCAGTTAGACAGGCAGAGATCCGAGCCGCCACCTGGGTGTCCGAGTGAGGGAAAGAGAGAATTAGTTGGGTGTCATCGGCATAGCTGTGGTAAGAGAAGCCATGCGAGCGAATGACAGCGCCAAGAGAGTTGGTGTAAAGCGAAAACAGGAGGGGACCCAGCACGGAACCCTGAGGAACTCCAGTAGTAAGAGGACACGGTTCCGACACAGATCCTCGCCAGGTTACCCGGTAGGTGCGGCCATCGAGGTAGGACGAGAGAAGGGAGAGAGCAGAGCCTGTGACACCAAGTTCCTGAAGGGAGGAAATAAGGATCTGGTGGTTGACCGTGTCAAATGCAGCAGAGAGGTCCAGAAGGATGAGGACAGAGGAGAGAGAGGCGGCTCTAGCAGTGTGGAGTTGCTCAGAGACAGCAAGGAGAGCAGTCTCTGTAGAGTGGCCTGCCTTGAAACCTGACTGGTGGGGGTCAAGGAGGTTGTTACAGTGGAGATAAGAGGAGAGTTGATTAAAGATAGCACGTTCAAGGGTTTTGGACAAGAAGGGAAGAAGAGAGACCGGTCTGTAGTTGTTTTCTTCAGAAGGGTTGAGGGTGGGTTTCTTCAGGAGAGGGTTGACTCTTGCCTCCGTCAGAGAATTGGGAAAACAGCCAGATGACAGAGCGTTGTTGATGAGAGAGGTAAGGAACGGAAGAAGGTCAGGTGCGATAGATTGTAGAAGATGTGATGGAATGGGGTCAAGAGGGCAGGTGGTCGGACGGGCAGAGGTTACTAGGGTAAGAATTTGGTTAGGAGAGAGGGCGGTGAAAGAGGGAAGTGAGGGCGAAAGAGGTCAGCCGCGTAGCGTCTCCTCGACATGGCGACATAAGCACTCGACTCGCAGGGGAAGAAAAGTGTCTGTGTGCTCTCGGCATAAGCGCCTGGTAACACTTTACGGACTGTGGCGCTTCAACAAGCATGCTGATAAGAAGGCTGTTAAGACTAATGATTGACAAATGACAAATGATTCCTGGGTTTTATCTATGGCCAGCTACTGTATATGGCTCCATTTATGGCTGCAGGGTAATTAATTGTGTTTTACACTTATCAATGCAAATCACATGAAAGAAATATAAAGTAGATGCTTTTATGGTGTGGTAGAAACGTGAAATGGATTGTATTAAAAAAACAACAACAACAACAGCAGAAAGAATTTAGAGAACTGTGCATAAATGACAGTAAGTGCCTTTAAGAGTAATCTATTAATTCCATCAAATGTTATTTAAGAAAAACTTTTCTCTTTTGGTACAAAGAGTCGTGCATTTAGTCCCATTTTACTACATTAGAAAATAAACAGAAAACTGTATGTGTAGGAGGGAGGACAACTTATGCAGATTCACTGCATAAAGAAGAAGCGGCTCTGATGGTGCAGTAGCACCATGACTACACAACATTTAACTCTTAATTGTCTAAATTGACTAATGTGTGTTGTATAACTAATTTGATGTATAATGATCACCAGGTGAAGTGTTCCCTGAAAAATATTAAGAAATATATACAGTATATTGAACATGGATAAATTTAACTAAAATATGCAACCAATTTTTCACAGAAATTTGACCTCATTGCAGACGGAATAAATAATAAACATTTGGTTGAAACTTTGATTATTTATTTATTATGAATATTGAATTAAATTTGCTGACTGTCCTAATATTTTATTTCCCACAAATAATAATAGAGCATATGCGTGGAGGGGGTTTGTTAAATATTGCTTGTACCTACATCTCATTTAATTGTGTTACGCCACATTCATGTGGGGTCATCAGGCGAAGGAGGAGCTGTTTCTGCGGGCCCTGTGTCTGTGCCACACAGTACAGGTGAAGGAGCCCACAGAGCAGGGCCCAGTGGACGGACTGATGGATCAGGTGGATGCCGGTGTGCCCCATCCACCGCAGGAGCAGAGAGGCTTCATCGCCTCCTCACCTGATGAGGTTGCTCTAGTCAAGGGTGCCATGAGGTGAGAGATGAGCCGTCACGACTCAATGATACTGTCACAATAGTGTGCATGGTATGCATTCAATTTGTGGAGGGCACAGGTGCAAAAGATGCTCATTTTTAGATGATTTGTCTCCACCTGCAGGTATGGCTTCACATTTCTAGGTCTGGAAAGTAGAAACATGAAAATTCTCAACAGGAATAATGATGTCGAAATGTAAGTCAGTCATTTCACAAACCATGTCTTTAGTTTTTTGATATTTCTTTAATATTCTTATTTATTTCTTTGCTTTTATTTACCTACCTCCCATAGGTATGAACTGCTTCACGTGTTGACCTTTGACCCCGTGAGAAGGCGAATGAGTGTAATAGTCAGATCCAATTCAGGTGAGCTGGAGATCGCTGTCTGGTTTATTGCATCGGCTGTGAGTCAATGTTGACCCTCAGCCCTCACCCCGCTGCGCGTTTGTCTGTATGTATGTTTGTGTTTCTTTACTATCCAGGTGACACATTGCTCTTCTGCAAGGGAGCCGACTCCTCCATCTTCCCTCGCGTCAGACAGGAGGAGGTTGAAAGGATACGCATGCATGTGGAGCGCAATGCCACAGTAGGTGACATGAGCACATTTCTGTTCAAAATTATATACTCTGATTCAAGGGTTGGACAGGTTTTGTTTGATTAGTAAAATTACCAACGGGTGACAGATGGATTTTCTCCTTGTTTTGTTTGGCTCTTCAGGAGGGCTACCGGACGCTGTGCGTGGCCTACAAATATCTCAGTGCAGAAGAGTTTGCCCAGGCAGATGCAGGACTGATGGAAGCCAGACTGGCTCTGCAGAACAGAGAAGAGAAGCTCTTGGCCGTTTACAACCAAGTGGAGACGGACATGAGTCTAATAGGAGCTACGGCTGTAGAAGATCGGTGGGTGCTGCTCGCGCTACACAACCAGACAGCGGTGGCAAGCTGCAGCGGCCCACGTTTGAAGACGTTCTGGTGTCTTTTGTCATCTCGGACGCGCTTGTTGTTTTTCCTCTCTCGCTCTCACGAGATCAGTGCCAAGAATTAACCTCAGAATACATCTGAAATCTCCTTTCCTTTAAAACTCCTGAACACGCAGTGGTGGTGTCGCAACATCCCTGGTAGTGTTTAAATTGTGTGAATTGGCTTATCTAATCCCTTGAGAAATACTGACAGCCAAAAGTCCCTTTTTATTCTGAACTTTTTAATGTAAACCCACAGCGCCATCTTGTGGTTGTATCTGGCTGCTGTCTTCCATAATCCAAGACTACTATTTCATTTAGAAAAATCAACTAAACAAGTGTAATGATCATCTGATTATTGGAGTAAAAAGATAGAAATGTTAAAAGATAACTACTTGAATAGTGTATCCTTGTGACATCTGTCTGAGGCAGAGACCGTCAAACTCATTTAAGTTCCATTTGAGTAAAAATGAAACTTGTTTTTTGTTTTTTCTCATAACGCTGTGATATTGAGCATTGCACCAGAACTGCTAGGAAATTAACACTGATGTCTGTGGTTTTGTTCATTCGGCTGCTGTCATTTGTGGACGTTTGTCTTGTAACACTAACTCTTTGACTTTGTGTAATAATATTTCACTCATCTCCTTCTCGCAGGCTTCAAGAGGAGGCGGCAGAGACCATGGAGGCTCTGCAGGGTGCAGGCATTAAGGTCTGGGTCCTAACGGGGGACAAGATGGAGACTGCAAAGTCCACGTGCTATGCTTGTCGATTGTTCCAGAGAAGTACTGAGCTGTTGGAACTTACTGTGCGTACTCTGGAGGATGGAGGGAGGAAGCGGGAGGAACGACTGCATGAGCTCTTGCTCGAATACCACAAGAAAGCTGTCCAGGATGCACCACCGTTGAAGGGAGGCATCACCAGGTGATTTTATGTGGCTTTGTTCTTGTATTAGTGATTATTCCACCAATCTAATGTTACTGATGCATAAACTTGAATCCATTTCCTTGATATCTTTAAAATAAAAAATGTTATTAGGACCTGGTCGTCAGAAACCCAGGACTACGGTTTCATCATAGACGGAGCCACGCTATCGATGGTGCTCAACTCCTCCTCGGAATCCAACTCGAGTCGCTACAAGAGCCTGTTCCTGCAGATCTGTCAAAACTGCACGTCTGTGCTCTGCTGCCGCATGGCCCCTCTGCAGAAGGCCCAGGTCAGAGCAGTCGGGGGACAGTGTGGGGAAATATGTGTTTATTACAGACTTTCACAGGTGACACTCGGTTTCAGGTTTTTAAAAGGTTTCCCCTCTTGTTTCGCTCCCTCTCTAGATTGTTAAGATGGTGAAGAACTCTAAAGGCAACCCCATCACTCTTTCCATTGGAGATGGGGCCAATGACGTCAGCATGATTTTGGAAGCTCATGTTGGCATTGGTAAGAAGTTTCTCTCTCTCTCACTCCCAGACACAACTATTGTTCCATATTGAGGGACGGGGCTTTTTTTTGGTGAAGCTGGTGTTTAAGGGCATTCTGTTGTCCCGGGATCGGGAAAAAAAAGATGAAGGATGATTTAAGAAACACTGACAGATGTCCACACAGCAAGAGGCTGAACCCATGAATGCTACAAGGCAGTTACAATTGCGTCCCTAAGCACTAGTTGGATTTTATTTTTTCTGCTGTCACACCCTCCTATCTGCAGAAATGCACGCTGAAGACACACAAACAAATAGTAAATATGTTTGTAACACTTTTTTCAAAATTAAAAATGTTGTGTAATTTCTGGTTGTTTTATTAAGTTGTCATGGGAATCGTGACGTGTTGGATGGACGTGGTGCTAAAAGTGTGACTGGTGTAGAGTAGTGTGTGATGTTTGTTGCTGTTCCAGGTATCAAGGGGAAAGAGGGTCGTCAGGCAGTGAGGAACAGCGACTACGCCATTCCCAAACTCAAGCACCTCAAGAAACTTTTGTTGGCTCATGGGCATCTCTACTATGTACGCATTGCACACCTGGTGCAATATTTCTTTTACAAGGTAGGTGGAACATTGACTCGCCGACATTTAATATTCTGCCGCCTAATAACTTATTTTATGTTTGAGCAAACCCAAACAAACCCTGACTGACTTGATTAGAGGATCACATGTTTGACACAACCCAACTGCTCTAAATCATTAGTTTTTTATTATAATTATGGAACCTACATTGTAAGCACATGGTAACCTATGAATGAATTTGCACACTTTTCTCCTTCTGCAGAACCTTTGCTTCATCTTACCTCAGTTTTTGTACCAGTTCTTCTGTGGCTATTCCCAGCAAGTGAGTATGACCCGAGAAGCCTTGAGGTTCAAAGAGGTTCTGAACATGAAAGTAGGCGGTAAACCTTCAAACCACCCGTCAGATTCTCTCCTCAGACTGCTCCCCCCCCCCTTCCCCACAGCCCCCCTCCCTCCGGCTCTGATTGATACGTTTACCGGCTCTGACTACGTAGTACTGTTACAATGCAATGCAGACACGTGTCAAGTTCTGTAGTACATCACTTATGGACATTACTTAATCATGTGTGTGTGTGTGTGTGTGTTGTCATAATGTCAGAATAATGCATCATAGAAATGCAGGTATGGATTAGATGACCTTGGAATTTGGATCACATCAGACATGACATAGAAACATGTGATGAATTATTTTAATTTCTTTATTTGAGATTAGGGATTTTGCTATTGGGAATTAATATTTTATTCTCACTCATACCACATGACCTAAATACCCCATAAGTACATGAAATATGTATATAAGCTTGCTTACATGAGTCGCTGTATGAATGTGTGTTTGAGTTGGTCCTCTCCATGATATTAACCCCCAGTTGCCCCGTCCCCCTTCCTCCTCCCTCTCCTCCTCATCAACCCGTCCCCCCGTCCTACTCCCGTCCTCCCATCCTTCCCAGCCCCTGTATGACGCGGCCTATCTGACGATGTACAACATCTGCTTCACCTCTATGCCCATCCTGGCTTACAGTCTCCTGGAGCAGCACATCTGCATTGAGGTTCTGCTGGACAACGCTGCCCTCTACAGGTAAACCTGGGAACCGTAGCTTCCTTTGCTATGTTATTTTGTTGTTTTCCTTTTGATTCCTTTGATTCTATGCAAACAGTGAATCGTATATCATAGTGGGACTTTTATAAGGACTTTACAAATGTCACCTTTTTGTTTTGTGACTTCCTTTAGAGAGATAGCTAAGAATGGCATGCTGCGGTGGAGACCGTTCCTCTACTGGACTTTACTGGGAGTGTTCCACGGCTTGCTCTTCTTCTTTGGTGTCCGGTATTTGTTCAGTAACCCGGCACTGCAGGATAATGGCCAGGTACAAGGAAATTAATTGATTTGCACTATGTTTCACGTTGTCTTATCTGTCTGATGTTATGCACCAACCGCCAAGTCAAATTCCTTGTATGTCTGACATATTTTGGTAATGACTGTTGACTGACCTGATTCATAGGCATTGTCTCTGACGTGGACCTGTTTATTTCTAGGTTTTTGGCAACTGGTCCTATGGAACAATTGTCTTCACCATTCTTGTCTTCACAGTCACACTGAAGGTAAACCTCTCCCCCGTTGTTAGGGTTACAAATGAGTGCACCATCAGAACCGTTTCAGAGGAGAGTTTGAAGATGATTTATTGTCTTGATGAACACTTTAGCAGGGTGTTGGATATTTAACATGACCTTCCTCTGCTGTTCTAGCTTGCGTTGGACACCCGGCACTGGACATGGATCAACCACTTTGTAATCTGGGGCTCCCTGCTTTTCTACGTCTTTTTCAGCTTCTTCTGGGGAGGAATAATATGGTAGGAAAACAACAGGGGATAAGATAACAGCAGGGCATGAGATAACCCACATGGCCGTGGTTGGCTGAGCTGTTGCTGTCACTTAAACCAAAGTGTCCTCTCTCCCACAGGCCCTTCCTCAAGCAGCAACGGTTGTACTTTGTGTTCGCCAACATGCTGAGCTCCGTGTCGGCCTGGCTGGTCATCATCTTGCTCATCCTGCTCAGCCTACTGCCAGAGATCCTGCTGGTGGTATTCCGCAAGCCACGCGGGCCCAACTCTCGACAGGTAGAGCTGAGACACTCACACACTCCTCTGTGGATCTCTGTGTCTCCCTGTCTTTCAGATCGTGTTAAACGTAACACAATTTAACAATGTTTTCTCCCCCACACTGTTTCAATCATCGTTAATGGAGCACATCAACACTGTCAGGGTCGGGTTACCAGAGGGATATCAAGTAAATCTGTCCCATGTCTTTGGGTCGCTCGAGTTCACATGGCTCTGTATGCAGTATTAAAATTTCACTTTTCCTAGGGTAAATCTAACCTAACTAAATGTTTTGCACATATTATTTGAATGAAGTCTTACAGCAGTTTAATATACAATTATTAGCGTTTGTTGTTACCATTGTAGAATCAATCAAGATTGACAAATGACAGCTGCGAGACATGGCATGCTATCATTTTGCCGTCTACACGTTCAAATGACAGTTGTTGCTAAGCGTGGTTACAGTGTATCGATTAGAATACTGGCGCATCTTTCTCGTTTTCCACTTTTTAACATTGTTTTCCTAACTAGTGCCCTGGCTTTCCCTTTTCTCTGTCTCACCTCTTCTTTCCTTCTCCCTTCCTCTCTGGACTCGCCTTCCTAAAGATGAAACATCGCCTTCCTTCCTCGGGGCCGTCTACTATCTTCATGTTGTCGCAGACCGCTAGCACTCACAGCTTCTCGTGGAGTGACTGAGGTCTCTTTTTTTTCTTCTGTCAGCTCTTGTACTCAAGTCTCCTCGTGTAGCGCTTCGTTGTCCGCCAGTCTTGTTGGTTTCCTACCTGTTGTGTCCTTCCTCTCTCGCCCGGTTTGACTCTTTCTCCTCTAAACTAAAGAAAGCGGGGCTTCCTTTGCCCCTTTTACAGTCTCAGCTTGGTTGAAAAGATTGAGACATCTCGTCTTTAGTGCATTTATTTATATGCATGTATGTATACACAAACAATGTGTTTTTTTTTAATCAAATTGAGGGGAACGTTTGCCGGTGCCTGTGTGCCCAGGCAGAGTGGAGTAGGACCTGGTGTCCTAACAGTCCGTCAGTCTTCCATTCTTGTCTGTCCGGTTGTACCAGTCAGCGTTTCCTCCCAGCTGCCTGTGCTGCTCCAACGCCTGCTGCCTCCGCATGCCGAGTCGGGTGAATGCGGCACGTCAAAGCACCCAAACCAATCTGCATGAGTCATAGGGCAACAACGTCGTCCTGGACGCTGCGCCGCCACATTGTCTGTGTGTTATAACATACGTGTTTTTGAGAAATGTAGAAGAGTATTAACCTCTTAATGAAACAAGGCACCACGGCTTATCGGCATCGTCCACCTGTCCAGTGTTGAAGTCTTGGTGTATGAACATGTTGGTTCTGTGTGTAGAAATGTTTGTCCGTCTGCAAGAGAGCGCACAAGTTGGGGAGAGAGAGAGAGAGAGAGAAGCGAAGTGTGTGTGTGTGTGTGTGTGTGTGTGTGTGTCAGCGTAGTGATGTCATCGGTGTTTCTTGCCTCACCCTTCTAGAAGAAGCCGGTTGAGTCGAACGCGGGAGGCCACCAGTCTCCCCGGTCTACAGCGCAGCCCCTGCTCATGAAAACCTTTTCAGATGAGTCCAATACTGTCATTTAAACAGGTACCAGACAACCTCCAGGCCACTTAAGCCAATCAAAGACTAGATGCCCTCCCACTCTCCCAGCCAACCTCTCCAGCCTTTCTGGTCACTAACGTCTTTAACAAGCGAATCAAAGGCATATCGGCATACAGGCCACCTTCAGCGAGGCCCGGCGTGTTCCTCTGTTGTATGAGCTGATATCGGCTGGCTGAAGAGACGCACCTTTTTCATGTCCGATTCAACTCGTGGGTCAACATTTTTTCAGATGCTGCACCTTTTGTAACAAGTGAATGCCTCTCAAGGTATAATGTCGCAAAACCTAAAAACATGCTCCTTTCAGCCTCCCTTTTGATGCCCGTCTGCATGTGCTTGCGTGAGGTGTTGGTTTCAGTTTGCTTGGTTTATGAAAGTGTTTTCCAACAGAGCCGCTCGGTGACTAACTCCCTCGCTCTGACGCGGACCGTTTGCACCGTTTGGCTTCGGTCGTTTCGTACAAACCCGTCTTGGTGGTCGCCGGCTGCTGAAAACATGGATGCATTTGTGAATGCCGAGCTCAACTCACTGCATGACGTGACGATGCCTTAACCCCGTTACTTAAAGAGGGAGACCGCGTTAACCGAAATGTCACAATGAAAAATTGTAGAAGTTAACTATGGAAAACCAACATTACATAAGAATGACACGTTATGGAATAAATAACATGGACAAAATATTATATGAAAATAATGAAAATATATATGAAATTGCAAATAATCATATTCCTAAAACTCAGATTGTTTATTCTAGCTATTCCTGTAAAGTGTAAATCTTTTTGATTGTAGTTCTGCCATATTAGGCATGACATTGGAGAGAAGAAACTTTCAGTCCTAACAGAAACCGTTTATAATAAGTTTTTAAATGTGAATTATGACACATTGTGTGTTTATTTCTTATTGTAGATGTCAAAGACTTGGGTAGATTGTTAAACATTGGACTGGTGACATGAAGAGCGTTGTGAGGTGTGAAGGGCATCCACACGTCTTTGTATACATTGTGTTCAAGGTTTGAACAGTCTTTTATTTTTTTGTCAAACCTCATTTGTGGGTCTGTCTGTCACACCGTCCCATCGCAGTTGACCGGGGTCACTAACATCTGTTGCATAACCACAACATCAGGCCTTTTGAAACGTCATTCACAGTTTAACTTCCATTTCTATTCTCCCAATAGCATTCAAAGGACGTTCTCCTACAAACATCCAGGTAAACTACAGCGTGACAAACCCTAAACTCTCCCTCCATTCACTGTCCCAGAATGAGACCCTTTTTCCTGATTTGTATGTCTGTGGTGGAGGGGAAAGAGTCGTTCTTGTGATTTGTGGCACGTGGCTCCGCCCAACTCATTCTCTCGATTTGACTGGATTCTTTTTGGCGTTGATTCGTGTCCTCTTCCTCGCGTGGGCACGAGCTCACAATGAAGTAAAATCCTTCTGCTTGTGCTTTTCCAGACCGCAGCTGTTACACCACTATCCTATAAGCACCTGAAGGCGGGCCAGTGAAGGGCAGCGGTCCACGCAGGCCTGCTGTCATGTCCGGTCTTAAAAGAAGAAGAAGAAGAAGAAGAAAAGGGGGAAAATGAGAAGAAAAAGCAATGTGCTAACTGGGGGAAGGGATGCAAAGGGGGTTTAGCAGTCTTTTGACCTGCGTCTCTCGCTGCCCAAAGCCAACAGCTTCGGACCCTCCAGCGCATGCCCGCAGCACAGCGCCCTGCATTATTCAACAGGAGTATCCACTCCGATGACAAGCATGAGTTTTCTTTCTTCTGTTTATTTTTTTTTATTTTTTTTATATCTACTAGCATACAAATGAATGCATACACGGCTGCCTTGTCAGTAGCTCTATTCTACTGCTGTGTTTTAACAAGCAGTTGGAGTAATGTCCACTCAGAGCAACGCTTCACTCCACTAGTAAAGTCACTGTGTTCCCTCCAGAGGTTCCACTCTAAATGGTTGTTTTACTTTATGCCTATTGTGTTTTTCAAACGGCTGCTCTTTAAATGGTTCTATATTTCAGTACTTGCACTCATGTACGGGTCTAAATGCTGTCTGGGAAAAAAACGTATTTCAGACTGTCTATAGAGAATTATTTGTTTCTGATGATAAATCTGCGTTCTCCTTTTGAACGCCGAGCTATCAGAGGAGCTAACGGAGGCCATATTCCCCACTCGATCCAAAGCTTTTGTGTGCGTATGCAAGATTGAGCGATAGATTAGAGATGTTGAGCAATAAGACGTTGCTCGGAGCGAGACCTGATTCTCCCAACCTCAGAGATAATTTAAAAGTCAATTTAAGATGAGAGTATTAATATATGCGCTGTTCTTTCTTTCTTTAGCTTAGATATGTATGAGAGCATCTGCTCAAAGCCAAAAAGATTCTTTCCACACTAGTGTGACCAGAAAGTGAGAGGGGCGCGCGTGTGTGTGTGTGTGTGTGTGTCGAGAAAAAAATCACTTGAACCTAATGGATGTGGTTTGCGTCCAAATGTTCTGCACTATTCAGAAAGCTGGTTCCCTCATTGCTTGGATGGTTACGAAGTCACACAAACGCACACACATCTCACACAACACGTGCACACTAACGCGTACCTGCACTAAAGCCTGAATGAGGTGTATGTGTTCATTATCTAGTTTGGCACCATTTATCTCAGGCTGGAGTGTAATGAAAATCCCCTCCAGGCCTGCTGAGTCTGTTTGCAGCACTCTGCTCTCCCTCCGTCTCTCCGTGGTCTCGTTTTGTGACCGAGGGGACGACGCAGTGGACCCTTTTGTTCCTTTAACTTCTTGTGTGCTTCATACATTCCATTTAAACACGCCATGATTTCCAACTCTTTTAAATACGGTTTCTGAATATACTCGTTTTGTTATTTCCACAAACCCGTTCTGTGTATTTTGACATATTTATTGTGTACTTTTACTCACAAATGTTATACTTTTATTACATAGGTTTTTTTTTTGTTTGTATAGTGAAGCTTGGTCAGCTTTGTGCAAGTTGACTGTGCGTGTTACTCCAGCCCTGATGTGAGCCGGTGCCAAAATCCCCTTTGGTAGTCTTTGTCATACGTGCAAAGACGGGCAGCCCCCCCCCCCCAACACACACTCCGGTGTCCCACCACTGAACCAGTGGCCGTCCTTTTACCAGGTTTCGCAGCTCGTAGGTTCAAACCCACGAGCCTGACACATCAACAAAATTGCCGAGCCTTTCGGCGTGTTTCTTTTTTAACGTCGGGGTTATGACAAAGGCTGCTCCTTACGCCAGACTTTGCTTTATCGGAGACATCGGACGTAAGAGCAGAGGACACACTGGGGCTGTCTGCTTTGTTACACATTATTACAACCTTATGAAACCTTTAAGCAACATCAGAGATGCTATTTTCGGAGCTCAGAAATATCTTCTAAATATCTAATGTATTGCCTGTCTAAATGAAAAGTATAAAAAGAACGGATTGTATTTTTAATGCAACCTTTTTCCAGCCACTTTTGTAATAAAATGAAAACGTCCCAAAAAACCCCCCCGAGAAATACAAAGAAGCACGAGTGGCTCTGTGGTTGTGGACGCCGTCCCTGTCTGAGGTCCGGGTGTGGACATCTTCAGGAACCTCAGCAGCCCTGCGTGACGCGGCAGGGACACCTCGGCCCCTTCGGGCCTCCTGCCTCGACCCTCCAGACCTCCACGCTGAATGTACCTCTTTGAAACTCGGGTGTTCAAAACCCAAAGTTTGTCTGAAATAAAGCAGAATGTTTTGAAGTTAAGCAAACGTCTCGTCGTGCTTTCTTACGCCGTCTGTTGTCTCGGCAGGTGATCCGCGTGCATTTGACCACGCTGAGCAGATGCTGTGCAGTAATGGGATGTCTCAGGGGCTAAGCCGGATCAGCTGAGTGGCCTCCAGCACTGTGATTCGCTGAGGTTTATATAGATTTCTATATTGTTGTTTTTTTTTCAGAGTCGCTGTGGGTTTCGGCAGCGAGCGGTCGAGCTGAGAGGGGCTCTGTGTATCCGTGTGCACACAATGACACCCTTTCATATTGGCTCTGTTTGAGTGTGATTGTTGCGCATTAAGAGCTTGTTGGCTGAGGGTGTGGTGGATTTTTCATTTTCTCTCCTACAAAGGGTCCATTCTCACGTCTGTACTACAGCAAGGCGGCCAGACAACTTAACAATCCAGCCTACTTCAGTGCAGTCAGGGTTACACTGGAGGCATAGAACGCCGCACGAGGGAGGGGGGGAGGGAGGGAGGGAGGGAGTTGGCAGTGTGACAGGAGCTGACTCCTGAGCTCTGCTCGGTGCAAAGCCGATCGAGAGAGAGAATTACACACGGCCAGGGCAACAACAGCAGAGCCAACCTGCTCGTTCTGCTTCTCTGGACGGGTCTCCTCTTCTTGCTGTAGCTGTGCTGCTCAGGGTGGAGGAGCTCCATGCAGCTCAAGGTCAGCGGGCTCCAGCGGCAGCCCGTCCCGTCTGGATCTCGGAGGCCTGCGGAGACGGTCGGGCCTCTGTTTCCCCGCCGTACAGCCGCCTAATGTCCCCCGAGCACGGGGCCGCTCTGCAGGGCCGTGGGACCCCGAGGAGGATGTGAGGCCTCGGGTCGCGGTCGGCGTCGCTTCTTCCAGCCTGATCCTGTGTCGGAGGAAGGAGGGAATGGGCCCGGCCTCGCTGCAGGAGGAGGAGGGAGAGCTGGAGGAAGAGTCCAAGGGGGAGATGGAGGGCTACCGATGCCTCCTGCAGGCGGGCTCCCAGCTGGAGAGCACTCTGCAGCGTGAGTGTCCTAGTTTATTATTCTGCGTGGCCACTGGCCGGCTTTTGGATATAATCCTGTGTTTGCTCTGAAAGCGTTTTTTGGTTTCACTGACTTGGGCACCGATGTTGTTAGTGCGGTTCGGCAGAATGACTTTTAGATTGATTTGCAGTGTTCGCTTGTAACTCCTTAGTTCCATTCCGTGCGGAGCACTGCACTCTGTCTTAGTTTATTAGGTTGCTTTGATCGGCCAGCTCCTGCTCCTGCAGCTTCACTCAAACAACCCAATATGTCAGCTATTTATTCATAGTGATGCTCTGTGGCCTGAATGTTGATAGAATGTGGGTTGGAGTTTGAAGACGCATGCATGCTGATAGAAAACCAAAATGGGTGTTGAGTGCATACTTCAGGTATGTGTCATGTATTGAGTCACAAGGCCACTGTTTTGTATTAAATGATGTTATTTTAAGAGAATCTGACCGATACGTTTTTGGAAAACATCACAAACAAAATGACCCTCGCCCTGAAATGATGTACAGTTCTATAAACCGCAGACATAAATTCGGAGAATGAAGATGATGGACAGAAATAGCACCGGATGTGATTGACAGCTCCGCGGAGCCGCTTCCTCCTCCAAGCTAATGGGATTACTTTTGGATCTCAGCCGCCATGAGTAATTGTTTAATTGATGGACCTTTGCTTATTTCATGGCTCCAGTTCTGTGGTCTGTAGGTAACAGAGACAAGCCCACGGGGAGTTTCTATTGTCATGTTTTCCTTGAAATGTGACCTCTGTCCCGGGTGAACGTCCTACTCAACACGGTGATGAGCATAAGGAACACACAATAACCATAAACCATATTTATTCATTCAGTGTGTGAGGATTTGGCTCATTTGAAGTGGAGGACCGTTCCCGTGTTCCAATAACGCAGAAAATAAAAAAGAGTATTCCCTCTTCCTCTGCCACCGATTCAATGGACTTCGTCCGGCCTTTACGCTTCCACCGACCATTCAGCTACTTGAATGCAGCCGATGCTCACATGCCTGATCAATAATTCCAGCCTTGACAGAGCACAAACTTCCACTTTAACTGGAGCGTGTGGCTCACTTTTCAAATGCCATTTCAACGACTTGTGTGGCCTCTTTTTTTGTCTCTCACTCTTCAACTGACAGTTTCACTGCTTTCCGTGCACGAGCGCCAGCTGGCGTTTCAGTTTCGTTTCATGGCCTTTCGGTTGCTCTCATCTCGTACTTCAGCTGACAGTTTGACTGAACTTTCACCTTTGGCGCCTTTAACTCACTGGCCTACGATAATAAATAAATATAATAAAACAGAGACTTGAAATAGTCAAAATAATCCTCCCGCCTGAGCCCAAAATATTTTGATATATTTGTACCATATTAATGCAAAAAAACCCGAAGCTGCCCGGCCAAAGACATGTGATGCTCTGGTCCCGGAGTCTCTATCTAAGCCTCTTCGGCCTTGAACCAGTAGTTATACTGGAATACACAACTTTCTTCTACCCTTCAGAATGCAGCCACCCATCACTCTAATCCCTTTTAGCATTGAGAGCTTTGTTTAGCAAAATATCCCGTGACCTAAAAGCAGCATGAGGCCTCTGTATACTATGAACATGTGTATATGTGTAAGAGGGGATTTCTCTCTCAGCAGGAGATTACGTGTTCTGCTTTTCTGGCTCTATATAATCAGACATCCGCGTGTGTCCTCTTCAAACCGGCTTCTTCCCGCTGCATGACTCACTAACATTTACTGTCACATGTAAGTAATGTACGTATCGCAAATCTGCACAGAACCCTGACGTGGAAGTGTTAGTTGTTAAAAAAGACAAATAGAATTCCCTTTGTTCCCAATGTTGACAAGGAATAAAAGCTAAAAAGAAGGTGGGTGAACGTGTGTGCAGCTGATCGCTGTGTAATAAAACCCGTGTGGATGGTTATCGGTGTTTGGACAGTAAAGGTAAGCTTTGCATGCAGACTCAAGGGATTGATCTGAGAGATCGGGTCTAATCTCTGTTTCCGTCCACACCGGCAGACATTCCTCTTTCTCTTTGTGTGAGCGGAGGAGCAAACAGAGGCTATTTGACTTTTGCCTGTGCAAACCGCCCTGCGTGCCACCTGGGCAGAGTATGACGCGAGCTCAAAGGGAACCTCCACGTTTCCCGCTTCAGAAACCCTTTGTCCGGTAAATGTATGAGCGTATAAAGGGAGTTATTAGTGCTTAACTTATACCATATCTTTGTTTGATTGACAGACTTCAAAGCATTTCATGTGGCAGTGTCCTTAGAATAAGTCCGTGGGATGGGCTATTAGTCAGGGAGAAGGGAGAGTACAGTGTGTCCACACGCTTTACCTCACAGCGGTTTGCAGCTCTTCCTGTGAGCCAACACAGTAGAGGCCCGCAGTGTGCGTGTGCGCGCGTGTGTGTGTGTATGTGTGTGCGTGCGCTTCAGTGGGTTTTCTTTCTTTCCATCAACAAAAGTAGATCCGTATCAAAATCCACCCTGCTGGTTCAAACAGTTTTTTATATGTATGTGATCCACAGCATAATATGCCAGTTTATTTAACATTTTGATTTAACATGACATAACATTTGAGGGTCACAGGCAATAGATGCTCGGATGAGTCTTCCAGGTAACTTTACTCTGCGATGGCGTGCGTGCTGTCCAGCCTCCTCTCGGTTACAGACGCACATGAAATATTCAGCGCTCCCAGTAGAGCTCATTTATTCGCTCCCTGACAACCCGACGGACACTGATACGCAGTCAACGCACGGAGAATAACACCTCCTGCCCTCGCTCTCTTTTTCCCCTCTGTCATCTTTTTATGAGTGTGTTTTTCCCGTTTATCTTCCCCACTTCATTTTGTAACGTCTCCGTTAAGGACGGTTGATGAGACAACCGACTGTGAGCAGATGGATTGATCTGTTGCCTGAACCGAACATTCGCCTCATGGATCAACACTGTTGAATGTGTGTTGAAAATGATTTTCAGGAGAGAAAGCTGTAAGAAAGTCATATTGATGTACTCCCAATAAGATTCTCCGCCACAGGCACGTGCACGTATTGCACGTATATGCAAGTACTCATTTGATGGTTTCTATGGATGTAATCTACTGTAAATGAAATGTGAGCATGTGTTAATGTTTCACATCTGGCTGAGTGACTCCTGGTGCACCAAAGAGAGCAGATGAAAGCCTCTTCTGAACTCCACCGGCACTTTAATAAGAGACCGTGTTGGTTTATTGGCCACTCGGACCTCTAATGGCACCGAACACGAGACACCGTGCGACACCAACGCCACTCCAGATGCTTTACGGTAAAAGAGCTAATGCATTTTAATGACGGCATTGTCTAATTTAACCCAGATGCAGGATTTACAGTGTAACCGAGTAATGCCATCGCGTCTTAGATATCCAAGTTCTGTCGTGTGCTTTAGTGTGGACTTAAAGCCTTTGAAACGTTATTTAGGCCCGTTACTCTTAGACTGGTTGTCTCACACGCTATGAACTATGAAAGATGCCCTCTCACCGCTGTGTGCTTCACAAGTATTCCTTTATGTTCCTTGGACGGGACTGGCATTCTTCAACTGATTCCTTGAATTAAAGTCTAGGACTTGGTTTGTAGAACCTCAGTTTTCGGGACACACCACATCCCTCAAGCCTTCTAACCTGTGTGTCTAATCCGTGTATCTTCTTCCAGAGGTGACTGTCCCTGTAAGCTTGAAGGAGGTAGGGGGCTACATAGAGAAACAGGTGGCGTACCTGTCAGGTGAGGCCTTGCTCATGAGTCAATAGGAATCATCGGTGTGTCCCCCCTGTATTTGCAAAGAAACGAATGATAAAATGGATGATATTTTTTCTCCTGCAGGGGGCCGCGGGGAAGACTCCAGTGTCATCATCACCCTGCCAGAGTGCTCCGCTTTCAGTGACATACCGGAGGAAGCTTTAGCCAAAGTCTTTACCTACCTCACTCTCGTCCCCCGGTGTGTCCTTCTTCTTCATCTATTCCTGTCTCATTCTCTCCCTCTGTCGTTCTGCAGTGCACCAAAAGGGCTTGTATTCTTAGCACAGCTGGTCTTCGGTGCTCCACGGGGTCGCACGTCATACTCCAAAACTCCCTCTCCCATGAGATTAGTAGTTTACATTGAATTGGTTGCAGCGAATGTTGGGCAATAATAAAAAAATGCAGTTCTAAAGCACCAATAGATGATTTGAGTAATCCTTTCTCGTTTGTCTTTCTGATAGCTTTAAAATAAACAAATCACCAAAGATTGAATAGTGACCATACAGCTGTGTACAATTTCCTCTTTTTTTTTTTTGCAGAACAAGGCAACCCGGGGTAAAGTTTATCGTCATTTTAGACCGAAGATTGGATACCTGGGCCTCAATCAAAACTGCACTTGCAAGGATAGCAGTGAGTTTCATGTTTTGTCTCCATTTCATGTAATCAGCAAGGACGTTTAGAACTAATTGTAATATAAGGTGAGTCACTGCACGTGAGCTGCAATGTGACGGTGTGCATGGGCTGCTGTTTTATTTACGAGCCTCTGTCCATGGTGCTGCAATACCTGCACACCACCCATCAGAGACCACTGCTTTTGCACACGGCTTCTGCGTGGTTTGAAGGGGACGCGTGAACAATCTGTACTGAGCGTTCAATTGCACGCTGCTGCAAACGAATGAGTAAGCAAAAACTGTGAGATGACGCGGGCTGCTGAGGAGAGCAGAGGATAAGAAGGGAGGCGGGCGGGGAGGGCAAACACTGCAGTCTGCTACCGGCTACCCTCCGCCTGAGAGGAGGAGGAGGAGGAGGCGGCAGCTGCGGCGGCGGCTGCGGGGTCCTACGGGGGGCTTACACCCAACCGAGATGGCTTCTGACACCATGACGGGTTGCTTTTACCGGCGGGGAATGAAGGCGAAGATGCGCCGGAGCCCGGTAATGAGCCGCTCGTTAGGTCGCGTTCGCCGCGTGAAGGAGTCTGGCTCGGGATGCGGCAGCCTGCGCCGCCCCCCCTGCTGTGCGCACTGCGCGCACTGCGGGGGGAAGTAGCACCTCTGCTTCGTCATGCGACCGGCCGTGTGTGTGTGTGTGTGTGCGTGCGCGTCTGCAGGGACCTAAGCTGATGTGATGTGTGTTCATGATGATGCTTGGAGCGATTGACTTCTTCTTGGTCTAGTTTGGACAAATGAATGTCAGAGGTTGGGTGACCTTCGAATGCGTGCGCAGGTTACACATTATTTAAGACAAAACTAAAGGCGATGTTGCAAATACATCCTGGTGCAGGGGATGTTTTTAACCTTGGATAACATATGAAATGATCATTTGCTATGCTTTATAAAGTTTTTGCTGAGTCATGCCAGCAGTTGCAGTCTGTAGTTGGCTCTGTTGCTTTATGAAGTCGTTGCGGATGCATGCAAAGGAAACAACCTCAAACGACCTGAAGATAAGTTGCAGCGTATATGACGTGTGTGTAAATGGCCGATTGACTAAACTGAAGTTTCTCCTGTCAGACGTGGAGGAGGAGAGCTCGCTTTCCTTCTCATAATAATATCATATAAAGTTTTGCACCAAATCCTTATCACCAACATGACCGCGAACCTCTTATCCATCCTTAAGGCATCTTTTCCTGGGAACCTCCACCTGGTCTTGGTGCTCCGACCCACCAGCTTCTTCCACCGCACCGTTACTGACATTGGCTTTCGCTTCAGCCAAGAGGACTTCATGCTCAAGATGCCAGTAAGGCAGCTCCTCCTCAGTTACCAAACATGTCCCACATCACAACCAGGTACACCTCGTTCTTGATCCAACCCCGATCTCCATGAGTCAAAATGTTCTGTGGTGGAAAACGACCAAGAAGACGTGTTGATTTCAGTTCTGAAACAAATATAATGAAGCCAGTTATATTCAGAGGATTGTGATTGTTACAGTAAGCTACTTTAATGTAACAATATCTGATGTTTGTCACGGCATTTACTAAAGACTGGTCAATATGGACAGCCATGCAAGGGGTTTAATGACTCCGTTGACCAATCACACCGCCCAAACTATCTTTCATATTAAAGGAAAATCTGTTTTTTTTCCCCAAAACCATAGGTAAAGATAAATACATACTCTCAACTTTCAGAACTTCACATAGTGTACAAAGTGTTCCTTGTGAAGTCTCAGATCTGGTCTGCGCCTTTAGGTGGTGATGCTGAGCTCTGTCACCGACCTGCTGCACTACATTGATGAAAACCAGCTTACTTCAGAGTTTGGAGGAACTTTGGACTATTGCCATAGCGACTGGATTGTTTTACGAACAGTAAGATACGAACACACCAGGATTAAACGACAAATAGTGTCATTTCTTCTCGTCTTGTTGTTTTATTTCATTTGCATCATTACAGTATGTTTGTGTTTCGTCAGTTTTGATCAAGCTGCTGTTCCTGCACATATAACCATGAAATACAAAATGTCCTTGTCCTTTCCTCCGTAATATGTATGTGGACACTGACATGCCTTGCTGCTCTCAGAAATCCACCAATGGTTCTGTTTCCTTCCATCTGTGAGGACATGGAGCCAGCGATGGCGCTCGTTTCACTGCCCTGAGTGTTTCGTGTGTGCGCTTTGCTTCCCCTACAGGCCATTGAGAGTTTTGCGGTGACAGTCAAAGACATTGCACAGATGTTACAGGGGTTCGGCACTGAGCTGGCAGAGACAGAGCTTTGCGATGAGGGGAAAACCATCGAGTACCTCCTCGAGTCCCACACTGACAAGTACAGGAAACTCAAGGCAAGGTTTCACTTGTTTACCTACGTGTATAATTACATATACGTATATATATATTTTCTTCACAAAGTACTATTTTCAATGCTGTTCATTTATGATGGAAATTGTGCTCTGTGTGACAGGATGCAATCAGGTCGGTGTCAAAGGAAGGTCGCCATCTTCTCGCAAGCCTGGAGACCTCCGGAAAGGAGGGTGACTCCCAGTGGGATGTGAGGCTGGACTGGGAAACAGTACAGAGGTAACCCCCCCCGCAAATGTATAGTTTAATACTTTACTGAGTGCTTTAAAGGTTTATAGAAAGTCCCCCTGTTTTTTAGGCTGCTTTCTCAGCTCAGAGACATGGAGTCAGCGTTCGATGGTTTCTTTGAGAAGCATCATCTGAAACTCCATCAGTACCTGCAGCTGCTTAGATACGAACAAAGCTTCCAGGAGGTATTACGGCTCCAGTATGTTTTTCATGTTTGCATGCATGAACATTTTGTGTGTTTGTACTTTCATTTGGGATATGGTCTTGTTTTCATGTTAGTTGCAATGTCTCGAGGAGCACCAGCTTGCCTCTAGACCAGCATTTGTTGTGTGTGTGTCATTTATAGATGGAGTTGTGTCTGGAGCATCTGGTGGGTCAAGAGAGGGAGCTCTCCACATCTGTTGACACTCTGGCTCAAACCGAACAGGCTCTCAAAAGGTTGGACTGCCTGGAATCGAGTGCACAGGTCGACACCTGCCAACACCTGCAAATAACACTTAACCTAGACGGGCAACGGGTGCCAGAGGACGTGGAGCGTGAGTGTGCCCAGATGAATGGACCCCCTCCTCTCGTGTGTGTCTTTGCTGGCCCTATCAGGAGGTGACGTCTCGAGCTCAGATCGTCGTCCTCCACGGACACCAGCTTTCGGCGGGTCACCACTACGCCGCGGCCCTCATAATGCAGCGCTGCAACGAGCTCCGCCACCACTGTGACACACTCAATGCTGCTCTCAAGGCCAAGCACACGCGTCTTCTGCTCACACACCAGCTGCTGCTTTGTGTTGGACAGGTATTGAGACGTGTATACGCATCTACGCACACACATATCAGAACACACTGATTTCTTTATTGCGATACCACCTCCAGGCCCAAGGTTGGTGTGACGACGGAGCGTATCTGCTGGCCAATCAGCTGGTAGATAAGTACCAGTCCAAGGAGGGGGCCCAGGCTGCTCTGAGGGACATTGACAGGTTGCTGGAGTTGGCGCCGTCTTTGTTGAGCTCAGGACCGGACGCCCTGGCCATCGAGTACGAAGCTGTCATCACACCTCAGCTGCAGGTCAGTGAGGGAGGCGCTATGTTGAGGGTGAGGTTGTAACTCTGGATGGACCTTCAACTTTATCATATGAACCTGTTCGCAACCAGAATTATGCATCACAAATAGGTTCATCTCAGCTCCGTGTTCTCCTCTCTGTGTCTCTTTGTCCCTGTTAGGCCCAGATTGGGAAAACGTTTGAGAAGCACTCAGCGGTGCAGCAGATGATCCAGAGCCGACAGGCTTGTCTCAGGAAGCTGGCTGATAAACACGTGCGACCCGTCCAACTGGTGGCCCCCAGGGCGGAGAACCCACCCCGCTCCAAGTCCCCGCTCTTCTCCCCCAAACACGGTCAGCTCATTTATTCACTCTTACAATCAAATAAACAGACTTTGTCTTCAGTGAGCTGCACACACGGGGAGCTTTCCACAGATCTACCAGCTCTCCTCCCACCCTCCCTGTTTCTCCAGTCGCTCCCGGTATGTTGTCTCGTCCCGGCCCTCGTGGCCTGGTGTAACAGATGTGTTTAGGGCATGGAAGTAGTCGACTCAGGTACTGATCTTTTCAGCATTTATTTGCTCCTGCAGAAGACAATAAAACACAGACATTGCCTTCTGGTCTCTGCACATCAGCTCCCTACACACAGGGTCTTCAACAGTGTAACACTACTGTGTAGGAAAAACGGGACTACCGCAAAATCTAAATTATAGCTTGTCAAAGATCGAAATTGTGACAAAAAGGGGAGAACAACTCCAAGTGAACAAAATAAATAACAGTGACAACTGCAAAAATTCCAGCATTAAAACAAAAGAAAACACATACCTGCAGAAGACAATAAAACACAGACATTGCCTTCTGGTCTCTGCACATCAGCTCCCTACACACAGGGTCTATGGAGGGGAACGTATACGTCAGGACGACCGGATGTAGCGAGTACAAACGGCGCGAAATTAAACAATAACCAAACGTATACTTTTATCACCACTCCATCGAATAATGACGCACCACAGCTGAGAACCGTGGTCATGTTACCCACGCTAATGGTAGCTGATGTTAACAGTTATAATTAAGAACATAGCGAAATAGTGCGACGTCGTTTTTTTTCTCAACTTACCTTCAACAGTGTAACACTACTGTGAAGGAAAAACGGGACTACGGAAGCCTAGGAGGCGCAGTAGAGATGAATCGCAATTTCCGCAAATTTGACTCATCAAAATAAAATTCACACACACACGTTCAACAAGATTGTTGAATAATAACCAAAAAAATAAAATACAATACTTTGAAAATGACAGTGTATTTCTAACTCCGTTACACTGGCACCCCCCCCCCCCAGCTTCTGTCCTTTAGGCACCATGGTTAAATCAACACATGACACGGTCCCTGTGAGTAATGCTAAGATGTTCCCGAATGGGCTTCAGGGCTTGCAGGCCACCTTTGCAAACAAGCTAGAATGCGGGTAGAGGTTATAATCAGTCTGCTGGGAAATATCCGACTGCTTTATTAGGCAGGAAGGCTCATATGACGCCATATGTGGTTCATATATATTAAAGAAGCTTTCATCTCCCTTTACGTCACAAGGGAGGTTGCAAAGCTAACTGTATACGATGCAGTGTTCATCATTCATTCTGTGTGTGTTTTTCTTGTTAATTGTATCCAGCGAAAGCGCCATAATCACTGAGGGTATATCCCAAAAAGCTTCTTCAAATTGCCATTCACGTCTTTAAGGCTTTGTTATCCGTGATATGAAGCCATGCTAACGAGGCTAATAACAAGAAAGAGAATACGGAGTGATTAGGAACCCTCTGTGACACAAGAGACAGCAGCCATATAAGAGAGGAAATGACATCACATGCACACAGGTACTCGCGCGTAGGTGCACGCTCACGCACTGATTCACGTCACGTGGCGCATGCGAGGGTTCAGTGCTCAGATTCAGGTGCAGGGATCGAAAGCACACTGACAGGCGAGTGAAAACTGACTTTAGATCTTTACATACTGGTTCCAGGCTGCACCCCCACAGAAGGAAACCTGTTTCAGTGTTTAGTCACTGAGAAATCGCGTTGCCTCATTAGATCACATGACTGCCGTGGGTCGGTAATCACACGTATGCACTTCAATGAGTCGCTGCTAACGATGTGACTTTTACAGGTGACGGGTTGAAGTTCACGTTCGACCTCTCTCTGCCCGGGAAGAGAACGTCCCGAAAGAGCCCCAACTCTAGAAAAGTGAGCAAATATGAGAAGCTTTTATTTCTTTGTCTTAGTTTGTTTCAAGATCAAGATGAATTTGACGGACATATCTGTAGATTTTTATGAATAACTTCTGACAGCCCTATTTTTCCAGCTGTGTCGAACCCCAAATTATTTATTTTTTCAAAATCTTCCCATCTCTAGTCCGATCATTTGTTCAGTGTGTCAGTGTTGTCCGTCCGTGTTGCGCTCAGATTGAGGTGATACACGACTACCAGGAGAGCCGGAGCTGCGTGTCCTACGGTCTGGACGGAGAGGACAGCCCAGATGTCTTGAAGCGGTGAGGAGACGGCGTCTCGCTGCTCTTGATGTTGTTTAGTTTGTGATTCTCTCTGTTCACCGCTAATAACGCCCCCTCCCCCCCCCCCGGCTACTTCCACTTCTGTGTGTTGTTTGTGTCACAGACACGTGATGAGGGAACTAATAGAGACGGAGAGAATCTATGTGGAGGAGCTGCTGTCAGTTCTGCTGGTGAGAAAACGCACATTCGCCCTTCTTTTTATACAACACGAGAATAGAAAAGGCCTCATGGTGGATTCTCCCTCGTACTGTACGCTTGTTGTTGATTACATTACTCCTGCATGCACCACACACTTCCTTGATTATGTGGCTGTGATTTAATGTATTGCAGGGATACAGAGCAGAGATGGACAGTCCATCTCTGTCGGGGCTTCTGCCTGCGATCCTGCGCAGCAAGAGGAACGTCCTCTTTGGAAACACGCCCGAGATCTATAACTTTCACAGCAGGTAAGTGACTCACATCACTCCAACGCGCAAAACGATTAAACAAAAGAACACTGCTGTAAGGAGACAAATGTGGTTGCAATATAAGCTGAAGATTAGCAGTATATTGATCTGGTGGTACGTTGGAGTGTAGCTTAACATACTTTGAGATGTTTGCTTTGAGGGACCTAGAAAGGGTCTTTTTTTAATCCTGATTTAATCCTTGACCTTTGACCCTTTCTTTGGGAGTGCAGGGTTTTCCTTCAGGACCTGGAGGGATGCCTGGAGGCTCCTGAAAGTGTGGGAGCCTGTTTCCTCAAGCGGGTGAGATGACACGTGTTTGTGTCGTGTAGCTGCTTCGCAGTTGAATCATTCTTGCGTCATTTCTTACCTTATTTGTCAAACAGATTTGTCTTTCCTGTCCCATTAGAAAGAGAGTTTCCAAATGTATGAATGCTACTGTCAGAATAAGCCGCGCTCCGACGCGCTGTGGAAACAATTCTCAGACTGCAGCTTCTTTCAGGTCAGTTTTACCACAATATCATTAAAAAAAAAGAAGTAAAAATGACTGTAAATATTTGTGTCACACAAAAAGGCCGCGGCCTAGTTTTAAAGTAACAACTAAAAACACGTGGTCTGTCTTTGACCAACATTGCATTCATTGGTCTTTATATTTTTCTTCCTTGTGAAGGAGTGTCAGAAGAAGCTGGAGCACAAACTGGGCTTGGACTCCTACCTTCTGAAACCAGTGCAGCGCCTCACCAAGTACCAGCTGCTGCTTAAGGTCAGACGGAGTGTGATGTCCTTTCACAAACATGCACACAAACATTATACATGTGAAGCAACTCTCAATTCATAAAATGTGATGTTAAATGTCAGTAAAATCCCCAAACAAAAACCCCACTGAACACCAGATCCACACTTTTTTCTCTGTTTTTCTCTGCGCTCATGTATTCGTGTGCACCGCTCTGTTCTTTTGACTGCGTGCTCAGGAACTTCTCAAACACAGTACAGACTGCGAGGGCTCCTCAGAACTGCAGGAGGCCCTGACGGCGATGCTGGACCTGCTCAAGTCAGTCAATGACTCCATGCATCAGATAGCCATCACGGGATACGAGGTGAAGCAACGCGGGCGTCTTCCCACGCAGGATGAGCTCACAGCGGAGGCTCACGCACGACCTCCTTTCTCTCGTCGCATGCAGGGGGACATTTGCGAGCTGGGCCGCGTGCTGATGCAGGGTTCTTTCAGCGTGTGGATCAGCCACAAGAAGGGTCCCACGCGCATGAAGGAGCTGGCTCGGTTCAAGCCCATGCAGAGACACCTCTTCCTGTACGAGAGAGCCCTGCTCTTCTGCAAGCGCCGGGAGGAGCACGCAGGCGGCGGCGACAAGACCCCGTCGTACAGCTTCAAGCACTGTCTGAAGGTGGGTCTGTGTCTGCGTCCCAGAGGGTTACGCCGGCCAGTTGTTCAGCCCGCGTTAGAGATGTGTTACAATACTGTACTGGTCCATGCTACAGGTAAGCATTCAGTGATGTTCCTCATGTTAATCATCTCAAAGGAGGAGGTTGGTAAAATTGTCATTACTCATCATGATGAATGTTTATACAGCAGAATAAACGGTCCAAATGTTCCACACCGCAATGATCTGACTCTGATAGGTGTAAACATGACTTTTTAAAACCTCAAAAAACTTGATGATAATAATTTAATCATTCAAAAACACAATTTACTGTGGAGTTAAAAAAAAAGCTTATATTTAAAGTTGAAATCCTGACAATGGTTTCCTATTCAACACTTTCAAAAGTTACAGTAAGGCGAGAAAAGGCCCAGCACAGTTCAACAAATTCAATGCTCCAATTCAGTGCTTCATATAAAACCATTCAAACATCAGGTTAAATAATTCATAAAAACAAATAAAAACAGACTTTTGAACAACAAACCAGATAAAAAGCTGCAGTGCAGTGATGAAATAAACAGAAAAAGCATCCACTTCATCCTTGGATCTGGTAGTAACGCTCCAGTCACACTAATCCCTTTAGTATAACATTTTATTACCTCCGTTAAATGCAGACACTCGTGTTATCATCACTGACTTGACCTCTAATTAGGTTTTAGCGCTACGTAATGAAGGGAATTATCCTCCGGAGACACTGAGTTCACGTCCCGCCGTCTGTGGGAAGTTGCCCCGCTGGCCCCAGAACCCCGTTGTGTTCCTGTAAGACGTCTTTTGTTGTGCGTGTGGATGCGTGTACGGAGGTGGATGTGTGCGTCGCAGCGGGTGTCCCACCAACAGCTGCCGCTCCGGCTCTTGATTTATTATTGAGGGTGTGGGGAGGAAGCAGTCGCACAGCGGAGGTGTGTGTGTGTGTGTGTGTGTGTGTGTGTGAGTGTTTTTTTGCTGTGACAGGACAGATGTGTTACATGATGTAAGTCTGATGCAGGGCGCTCATCCTAATGCTGTGTGTGTGTTTGTGTGTCTGGGGGTGTAAACAGTGTATGTATCTCTTGGCAGATGACTGCTGTGGGGATCACGGAGAACGTCAAGGGAGATGTGAAGAAGTTTGAGATCTGGTACAGTGGCAGGGAGGAAGTGTATGTGGTTCAGGTAAGGAGTCGGAGAAAAGTTGAATGTCAAAGCTTCTACAGCAGTTTAAATCCACTATGACTGTGTATGTCGTCTCTCAGGCTCCCACAGTGGAGGTGAAGATGGCCTGGCTCAATGAGCTCCGCAGGATCCTGACCAACCAGCAGAAGCTATTGAGAGGTCCGTGAAAAACTGGTGTCAATGTGGGTCAAAGACTCCAAGGCCTAATCCCAATCCCATTCTCCTACTTCTGTTCTTAGCAATATGACGTTATAAAATATGAAACGAACGATTGTCCATCATACGTTTTGACGTTGGATTCAGGGTTCAAGGACTTTGGGTATTTGGGTATTTGGCCGCCGTTCAAACACGTTCTGGCTTCTTTGAGCTCCCATCACACAAACCCAGGACTGTTTTTTTCTGATACATTCAGTTGAAAAACCTAGATGGATTGTCTTTACCGTACCGTGTTGAAAGATGATGGTGGACATGGTGTCATGTATTCATTCATTCGCTTATTGCCGCGTATGCTCCCATGCACAAATACGCAAACGGACACAAAGCTGGCGACAAAGCGGGCCCTTCTGCTCAAAAAAATAAAACTAAAATGACGCCTTCTTTCTCTTTTCACAGACGAAGCAAATCAACACGGCCAAATGGTCGGGCACATGCAGCTTCCTCCACCGCTCTCTGAGAGGTCAGTGTCTGCTCCGTGTTGACAGATGAAGTATTTACAGCTTTGTGTTTCCAAGCAAAAGCTGTTTTTTTTTAATTTGAGCACAGCTTGAGTGAATGTGACGATGTCATCTGTGCGTTGCCCCGGTAGCAGCTTTTTGTGTCTATTGGTGTTCGGCAACGGGCGCAGGCCCCATTCCGTCCGCTGCTGTCCACTTGCCCAATCCCGACTCCCCACCCCCTACCTGCAGGGGCATGCGGCCGTCAGGAGTGGCCCCCAGGGGCTGTCTGCCGGGGTCGGACTTTGTCTCGCTGTCGGCCGACGTGTTTCTGTGCCTGCGTTCCCGGAGCCCCCGTCCCCGAAGCCCCCGGCAACGGCCCCAGCCGCGCCCTCGCCAACTCCCCCAGAGACACTGACCCGCCCTAATGCTCAGTGGTAAACTCAGCCCGGCTCGCCGCGCCCCGGCATGAACTGCCCGGCCTGGCTTGCGGACCAAAAAAGCCCCCCAGGGCCGCTGTGTTTGCATACTGATCGTCACCAGCACGCTCTCGCTGTAACCTCCATTCTGGTTCACGACTGACCCCTTTCACCTCCTCCCCGCGTGTCTCAGCAGCCCCTCCATGGCGCTGTTAACACGGTATCCATAAACACTCATTACTGCATTGAACAGTTGCTATGCTGCATGTAATGCACACCCAGAAAAGAAGAATTGGAGTCATCATTCCATACATTTTGCAGCTTTTTGTGATAAATCTAGACCAGATGCGAAGGTCTGTGAGTCCTACTCCCCACTTTTAGAGACAAGCTTGCACATGGCTGATCTGCTGATCTGTGCTGCTGTGTGTGGCGGGTGCCTGAAAGGTCACTGTTGTATGAGGAACAACAGGATAGAGTTGTTCCTTGACACTGATCCGGGGCCAGCTATGACGTTGGAGGTATGGATCAGTTTCAGGAGACCAGAGCTCACCCTGGATGGTGTGGCTGAGGACAACGTCTATCCTGAGTGTGTCTACTGACCGTGTGAAGCATTTGATGAGGCCTGTGGTTTTGTGTTGTTGCCCCAGCAAACTGCAGAGGGCGTCAGTGAGCTCAGAGGAAACGGAGTCGGGGAGAAGCAGTCCGGACCCCCAGACTCACTCCCCCAAACACCTGCACAACCGCAAGAGTGAGGAGCTCTAGTACACACACGTGTATTACACAATCAAGTAGATGTTTAGCAACTAGACTAAACTTTAATTTGGTAATAGTTTACTAAATAACTGCTTTAGATCTAGTTAAATAAAGGTATTCATCAATACCCGTACCAGCCCTTGGTGATGTGCGTTTCACAGGTTGGCCCGGAGCTCATAGTTCTGTCGACGTGTGCGAGGGTCTGGATGGGTGGTCTGCAGGTCGGGGTGCCTTCCACCCGGCTGACGCGCAGGGGGAGGCTTTGGTGCAGCTGGTGAGGCCGACAGTGGAGGGAAGAGTCCTCGTTGTTGACAAAAGAAAGACTGCGTTCTGTGCTTAGAATGAACTTTCATACTACTGTTATGACAAACTACATGATGACTTTCCTTTTTCTATTCTATACGTTACATTTTTCATACTGTGACATCACGTTTTGAACCTACTTCTTTTTAGTAGCATTTTTTTTTTTGGTGACATATTTCCACATTCTTCATTATTTTATTTCCCTAGGGTTAGGGTTAGGAAACTACTTCACTTACTATACATTTATTTTTCTACTTTGGTTTTTAACTTGTAACCATTGAGTAAATGTTTTGAACACATTTTTTTTTACTTTTTGTTAATCAATTTTTCATGACTACTGTTGTTTTTTATGGAATAATAATATTTCCTTCAAATTGTGAAGTCTTTACTATATAAATACATATATAAATGAAAACGTCCTTTTTGGGTTAGTCCCCAGGAACATACAGAGCTTTGGCTGACTGCCTTCAAAACGGACCAGACAGCATCGCCCTCAAATGTGGAGACGTCATCCAACTGCAGTTCGAAGACAACAAGGGACGCTGGTGAGTTTTCAGCCAGCGAACACACGTAATGTGACGTGAAATGGTCCCTCAGGGAAGCTTTGGGATTTTTGTTCAATTCTTACTGCCATTTCCCGGTTTTCTTCATCCTTCAGGATGGTAAAAAACCTGAGCGGGCAGCGGGAGGGCTTCGTAGCAGTTTCCAGCCTGCAGCTGGTTCTAGTGGACACCAATCGAGGGAACACCGGACTAAGGGGTGAAGAAAAGACCACAACATGAAGCTGAGCCAACTTTTCTTTACCCCTTCATTCCCTTTTTATAAGTCTGTAATATTTTCTTTTAGACCCAATAAACCCGAAGGCGAGAAAGCTCAGCTCCCCGTAGAGAAGAAAGCAGAGGATGCGAATCTGCCGGAAGGAACCAGTCGGACCGTATCTGTCTCATCGCTGATCTTCACTCACCCAGCCACGTCTGCTTCCTCCGGCACAGATCAATGGTTAAAGGGAAGAACGCGAGAGTCCGCGCAGCTCATTGTCTTCCAGCTTCTGATGGACGATCTACTGGGTTGACTGTCGCCGTCTTTTGGATGGCGGAGGTGTGACGCGGCACCGCTGCAGAGGCTCAGGAGCCGTTTGGCCCTATCCTGATCCTGATCCTGATTGGTCTTTCTGATTGGTGGGGAGAATCCACCGCGTATCCCAAACAGCGTCAGGCTGCGAGGTCGTTTGTCGAGTCACAATCAGCGGAGTCTTCCTCATTCCAAATAGCAGCGGGTGTCCCTGTTGTGTCTCGTTGTGAAAGAACCCCAGGATTTGCCTGAAACATTTCTTAAAGCAGAGACTTTTCTACATATACATACTTTTTAACATTTGTCTTACCTTACCGTTTCCTCTTTGTGTAGCTACTTGATATTTGCCCATCGAATTACTTCATTGTATTGAATTCCTCCTCAAGGCACAGTCTCGGAGTTAGAATGGCCAAAATGTGCCGTGCCATAATGCCTTTTTATTCCTGCTCTTTTTGAGTCTCTGTACGTACTGTTTGCAAAAGGAAACACCCTGTTATTGCTTTAACCTGACCTCATAAATATTCAAAAGGCACTTTAAAAACGGTGGATGGACAGGAGAGACAAACGGAAAAATCCACCTACCGTCTCCTGAATGTGTTTTCTTCTCCGCTTGGCCTTTGTCTTATTGTGTGTTTTCTCGTACTCATGCCGTGAGATGCAGGGGTGGATGCCGGCAGCGGGAGACATGTCACAGTAATAGACAAGAGAGAGAGGGGGGGAGACCCTGCTGTCTCCCCCCCCTCCTTCACAGCGCCATCACAGCTCAGTTCATCTGGGGTTCCCTATAGAAAGGGATCGTACTACCAGCACGAAATGCACCCTCTGTGTTTTAACGCTTCGTTTTATATGAATTGCAGACTTCTATGAATTCGCCGCTTCAAATCGAGACCCTGTCAGAGGGCTGCCTTTAAATCCACTGTGTTTGACATGTGAATTAGTGCAGAAAGCAGCGCTACACATTTCCTATGTTATTTATTTTACTGTCATGTTGTTCCTTCATATTGTGAGGTTTCTATGCAGCTCTGAATGTAATTACAATTCCATTTATTTAAAAGGATCAAAAACCCATTCTATTTATTTGTATCATATTTAACAAAACCGGATGGTTTCTTTGTAACTTTAATCCAAAATGCTGCAGATTTTGCACAGATTTTCCAGCTGGAAAAACAAACAACAACTGCTTGAAATATTAGTTAACCCGATGAGCCAATTAACGTCAGCGGGTTATTGAATGTTTCTTTAAGATGAAAATGCATGGCAACTAAACTCTGAGCAGCTTCGTACCGCTCGGCCTTTCCGAATTGTTTCGCTTTTGTACGGCTTCAGTTTCAGTAATGAAATAAATCTTTTATTGCAATAATTAGTCATTGAGATTGAGATTAATTGAGATACTGTTTGATTGAAAACTAAGACTGTGCTTTTTTTCATGCACGCTTATTTCTGCATTTTTGTTTCACTTCTATAATAAAACCATGCAGATTTTCTCTGTTTCTCTGTGACTGAACACCACTACTTGCATGACATGTACTCACCAGCAGATGGCAGCGATGTATTTAACTGCACACAATGAATTCATTGTTGGTTTGATACATTTATTTGGTACCATAGAAAGATCATCTTAAGTATATTGTCTTAAAAATATCTAGATGGGTTTTTTTTTTTTCCAAGTGCATTATTTATGAGACTGGGTTGGAGGAATTCTAGTCATTTGTCATCCAGAATGTTAGTTACATGTACATAATGAATATTCTGTGAAGCAGGGAAAAAAAAGAATTGAGCATTCGTTTAACGTTCTTAAAATCTCTGACATTTAAAAATCGAGGTCAGGGTCTTCCATGTCAAGGGCCACTCTCTGTTTAGTCAACCTCATAATGTGGTTTATCCAGGGATAGTAAAGGGACACCCGGGTGTACACGCCGTACTTGCCCTGCTTTGCACACTCTTCCCCCCAGCTCACAATGCCCGTGAGGAACCACGTGTCGTGAGCGCTGTTTGCGTGAGGCCCGCCGCTGTCGCCCTGGCAGGCGTCTTTGGCCTCCTCGTGGTATCCGGCGCAGAACATGGCCGGCGTGATCCTGGCGCTGCTGCTCTGCTTGCACTCGATCCGATCCGCGTAGGGAACCTCGACCCTCTGCAGGGCGGCAGCCGTGAACCCAAGGAAGCGCGTTCTGCCCCAGCCGCTGACCGTGGCCGGGGAAGACTCCTTCACCAGCGCCTCGGTGAAGGCCTTGGGCCCCAAGCAGATGGGCCGCACCGCTGTGGAGAACACGATGGGGCTTCGGAGGTGGAGCAAGGCGATGTCGTGGTTGTACAAGCTCACGCTGGCGTTGTAGCGGTGGTATATGTGCCGCTCCGACACTTCGTGGTCCTGCTCCGTGCCCTCGTTGATGTAGATGTCATGCTCCCCTACACCGGTGGACACATTACAGATTCACTTTGAACGAATAAAAGCAGATGGCAAAATAATTTTCCTTGGGACTGTAATAAAATACATGAAATTAATGATTATTTCAAGGTCTAACAAACTTCACACTGCAAGGATTGTACATTTTATCCGCAAATTCTTTTCAATACAATGTTATAATGTTAAAAAAGGCCCAGAACAAAATAAGCGATGATTGTCCCAAACCTAAAGAGCTTCATTTTTTTCTATCAAGCAGCGAATCCTCTGAACTCACAGGCTAGAACCAGGTTTTGTCCTGTTTCGTTGAGTCAATTATGAAAATAGATGAAAAATCAATGAACCGCCTAATTGATGTCGGCTGGAGCGACTAATCGATGGGATGAAACCTCGGCGGTCGTTGGTGGCAGTGAGTCTTACCCACTCTGACGAAGAAGGAGCCGGCTTCCTCCCCCAGGCAATGAGCAGCGGTGATGACCCAGCGCTCGCTGAGAATGGAGCCCCCACAAAACAACTCACCGCTGGGTCGCCCTATCAAGGCCACCTGGGGGGGGGGTGGAGCTGTGAATATATGCAGGAACACACTGCAGTTGCTCTTATTCTCCCTCTTGTATCGAGTACGTGTACCTGCCATGGGATCTCCCCTGGGATTGCCACCTCGCCCCCTACAATGCGTTTAAAAGCCTGAGGCTTCTCCTCAGCCTGGACCTCAGCACCACGGTCAACCTACCGGGGCAGTTTCTTTCGAGATGTGTGTTCTGCAGACTCATTGGCAGCAGGGAAAGGCGCCGCGGTGCCGGCCGGTGCCGAGGGAGGGGATGTGGTGGCGTTCTGCAGGCTTTCATCGCCCCGGCCGAACAGAGACCTCCTGGACGCTGCACTTACCTCCATGAGGGCAGTTCTGCCACAGGGGAAATCGACTGGCGACGTGAGAAAAGGAGTCATTGTCACGGCATACAGGAGATGATTAATGCTGAATGTACGTTTATACCGTGTGGGTCACAGTTGAGTCCGTCCTGCAGCAGCTTGTATCCTCTCGCACAGGAGCATTTTGCTCCAGATGTTCCCATTGACGTGCAGAAGTGCATGCAGTCGCCATTGTTCACGTCACAGCGTTTTGCTACGACTGGGGAGAGAAATTATTTCTTATTACACAGAAACAATACAGTGTGAATGTGTTTTATGACTTTGAATTGTGAATCCATCCCTTCAGGGTCCTTGTCACATGGTCAATTGAAAAGTGGGATTCAGGTAAGTGCAGTCACTACTCACAGAGAGGGCACTTTCATGGCTATTTTCAAAATATCCTAACACAAAAAACTAATCTAATTTTGGGACCTGAAACCAGACTGGCGCTGCAAGTCATTGATTTAATTTAGAAACAGAAGAAGGGCAAAAAATAGTTTCCGTCTGTTGTTCCTCTGAGACTCAGATCTGAGCTCATATTCTTAGAAACATTGAATCGTGTAACATAAAAATCACATTTCTCCTGATGAAAGTTCTAAATGGAGCCACAGAACTTTCACCTACCGATCTCACAGATCTGGCCGGTGAAGCCAGAGGCACACGCGCAGCTGAAGTAGCCGATGTGGTCTCTGCATGACCCTTCGTTCAGACACGGGCTGGACTCACACTGATCGCCGTCTGAAGGAATCCAGACAAACACCTCAGGAGATCCGTCATCCGGTCACCTCTTTTTGGGCAATCGCTGTGACAGTGTGCATTTTTTCGGGAGAACATTGTTAATAAAGATGTTCTTACCTCTATATGTCGCCCAGAACTTCCTCTGAAAACACAGAGTTATGTCTCTGTGAGTACAGCCGGTAGAAACAAGAAGATTCACACAGAAAATGAATAGATAAATACCCACCGTTTGTTCATCGTCCTCGAAGATCTCCCTGGCCTCCTCCCGGTCACACACTTCCTCCATGCACTCTCTCTCCAAGTTGCCCTGCAGCAGCTCCTCAAACAAACCTCTGTTGTAGCGTTTGTGTCTCCTCAGGACGGAGTCGGCCGCCCGGCCGGACAGGAACGCCGGGCCGGAGGCCGGAGCTAGAGGGGGCGACACCGACACGGAGGTAACCTCAAGCAAGACAGACAGATGATTTATGAGCGTCGGTACAGAAGAAAAAACACACACAAAATACCTCCGCAGAGCGGCTGGAAGTCCAAAAGCAGCAGACTTAAGTAAGATAAATAGAGTGGTGCCATCCTGACAGCTCTGGTATCCTGACACTAACACACAGTGGACCATCACTCCAAAGTACAGAGCTCTATTTACACGTCCGGTCTGAAAGCAGCAGTGTGTCAACATCCACATGCACAGATTCTCGTGGGGGGAAAACCACAACAGGTCAACCGAGCCTGTCTCACAGAACGTCCCCAACGAGTACACTGGTCCGGTACACAGTCTGCTACCATGAAAAGCTTCTGTCCTGATGGACACCGTCCTCTGAAAAGACCACGAAATGAGTATTGATAGTTTAGTTATTTACATAATGAACTCCAAATCCATCTTTGCAAAACGTTCCCTGTGCAAACACAATGTGCACATTAGACCTTTGGCCAGGAGGTGGCGTGCACGCTCCTCAGTCAGTCACAACACAGCAAGGCAGATCGAGTACCCCCCGTTGTTTGTCGTCTCTCAGCAAGAACACGTCACACATCCTTTGTTCATAGAACGTCCTTGAGACATCATGCATTCACGTGTTTTAATAAACTTTGCCTCAAACGATGCAGCGCGTCAGTGGTCCATCAACGCGGGCTGAGACTGACGAGCAGCTGGCGCTGATCGGCCGTGCCAACTCGAGCCCGGTCCATGGTGGTCTGGCGCATCCGATCCATCCCATCGCCGGCTACCAAATCCCCCCACGGGGACTCCAAAGTCTTCTCGGGTGTTTCGCGACTATTGAGCGGAGGCCTTTCTGTTTCATTGGATCGTCCACAGGCTGAATAATGGATGAAGTAATTAACACCGTCCGCTCGATACGAGAGCTTCTCCATCATTCCCAGTGTGACCATGTGATCATTCCAGCAGCAGCACGGAACGTTTCCATTCCGGGTCACACTCGTGGACGTGAGTGTGTCGCGGGGCCTCGTGGAGAACGGCGTTTAGAAGCAGAGCACAGGAGGTGCTGTTTGGAGCCGAGGCCTCGGATGATTGTGATGCTCGCTCAGTGCTATTGATTATCAGCCTGCTGTATCTCCCCCTCAGCCCCCCCCCCCGGCCTCTCTGCAGGGGGGCACGGTGTCATTTGCAGAGGGGCGAAGACCAACTTCTTCTGTAGTTGTGAATCTGAAGTTCCACCGCACAGTTAGAGCGCATATTTCTGCTCAACTTATATTTAAAGGTTCAACCGATTTTTGTGGCTATAACATCTTGAGGACATTTTGATGGGAATACTACTATGATTTTTTGAATTGCCTGAATAACATATTAGATTATTATGTTAAAATGACAACGTAATATGAGTTTGTGTATACATAGTATACTATGACATTTTATGACACATGATTTATGTATTTTATGACAGACTGTACTATGAGTTTTTTACATTTTTAAGTTATAAATTATTTGTATGACATTTGATAATATATAGTAGGCATTATATTATACACAATAACATATACTATATTTAAAAGATAGTACCTCTGCATGGCACATTTATAACATTTTATTCTACTTATTTTTATGGCAGACTTGATATTTTCATAGCATTCAATACTATTTCCGTGTCCTCTTTGAAATTTCTCACGCAATTATCATGACTTTTTGGATCACATTTAAATACTATGACTTCTTTATGACTTTGTCATGATAAAATCCAATGATGTAACAGCTATGCAGATGAAGGGGGAATGCAATAACCGTTTGAATCCACACTGTTTCACTGGGCGTTTAAGTCCAGCCTTGCGAGCGTGCACAGTGATTTAGGGGCGGGGGGGCTATGAGCTATAAGCTGTAAGAAGAAGCACCGCGGGCCTCGAAGCACCGCTGCACCAGCGCCGGGATAAAGTCATTGACATTTATGTGATATTTGAGCCTCTCGCTTCGTTAATTAGTTAATAAGTGATTTTAAAACCCGATGTTCATCATATTCACAATTGGTTCAGTATTTGGTAGAAGAGGAAGAGTTTGGAGTTTGGATTCGGTGGCTCACGACAGCAGTCACGGGTCGAAAGGGCGTTGAAGGCCTTTCAGAGGAAATCCTGCCAAGAATGACAGGATATAAACCCATGATGCATTGCTGCAATGGCAGGAGATGTTAACGTAATATAAATGAATTAATTCAATATAATCTTTTAGGATATAAAATGTCCTACTATTTTGATTTATCGATTATGATTTTACACCTCCATAAATCCTTTGCTCAAGTATAAAAGGAAATGACCCAGAAATAGTTTGTCTAATTAGTTCATAGGTTTAGAAAAATGTGTAAATCGTCCAGCGGGATGTTTTTCCTCTTCTTTAAAGTCACCATATGTTAAGCTGAATAAAACAAATCATCTGGCAGGCTTGACAAGAGTCGACTTGCACAGTCGGGTTGAAGTCCGGCCGCGTCGACACAGACACCTCCTCACGAAGCAGAGCTCAAGTCTTCTTCTGGCTCCGTGAGCCGTGATGCCGCCGAGCTGACAGACGCTGGCGGCTTCCGGATGTTCAGCCACCGTTAATGAAAAGTGGAGCTCCCATCCCTCCTGGTCAAACAGAGGCCTGCAAAGCTCACCATTTCTCTGCTGAACGTCAAGCGATGACTTCTGAGCACATTTGAGAGAGCTTTGAACTCTTTATACATTATAAAACCCGCCTCCGTGACCAATGACGCATGCTGCTAGTGGACTGAAAAAGCAAGCTGCCTTAAGTACATTAAAATGCACAAACACGTTTTGGATTTGCCTCCGTCAACTTGAATCACGCTGCATTTGCGACTATTATTCAATGTGTTCGTTTCAGATGACCGCACACGTCATAAGCATTGAGCGACAGACGATTGTTAATAAATCCCAACCCCATTGCACACAATACGGACACATACTCTTCAAACACTCGACCTCCAGCTGGTCCACAGTCATCGGCGCCCCGGTAACGGGCCCGGCCTGATTACCTTATCAGCCCCACTCAGACTAACAACAACAAACAGTGGCACACCAGCTGCCCCGTCGCACAACATTGGAGCATTAATCACTCTCCAACACCTCACCGCCAGTTCCAACGAAAGATTTTAAGGATTAATTCCCTCCCAGCATCCTCCTCCTCCACCAATAACACGTTGGGTGGTTTTCGGTCCAGCAAAGATACGAATCAAGCGGCTCCCATTGCCACTGGTGTGGTGTTGGTCTGTCGACCCATGCAACAGATTTGTGAGTGTGCAGAGGGCTGAGTGGCTCTTAACCGTGCGATTTGAAATTGATTTTGAACTGACTGCCGTGAATCGGGATGAATACACACTTTCAGCTCCAAAACTTCGTTAAAGATAGAATCTGATGAAAGAAATATATTGTGGTGGCTGTTCATAAAATCTGTTGCAGTTCAAAAACATCAGTTATTCAGTCGTTCATTTGGTCATTCACATTCAACTTTTCATTCTTTCTAACGATACTCAGTTCATTACTTTTCCCTCTCAATTATCCTTCAGTATATTTTGCAATGACTATTGGCAAAATATGTTCTAACAAACCATCACATTTGTAAGACAAGTGAGAGTTTGACTGACATCCCCCTATTAAAAGCGTAATCTTTTGTGATTCAGATATTTTGCCAATATACTGCAAACACATAAAATCTTTTTACCAAATGAGAAATCTTGGCCTGAGACGCATTACCAATCAAGAAGTTGTGTTTGCACTCGACACTAATAAATGAAATATATTGTTTAGGATACATTTGTACAGAAGTCAAAATAAATTGCCAAGCTTTTAAGGGTTCATGCAAAAATAATGAATGCTTTAATGTTTCGTGAGTCCACGGTGCATTTTCAGGCCGAAGTCCTGCAGTCAGCAGACAAGCAGCGATTCAGTGTTATTATGTCATCGGTGGAGATGGCGATGTGGCGTCAGAGGTGACTGAGTGTGAGTCAGGAGTTTGTTTGTGCCGCGGGGGCTTTGCTTTGAACGGGCCAAAGGGGGGGGGGGGGGGGGGGGAATCTAACACCGGGCCATGTCACAGCTCGAAAGGTCAAAGGGCGGGGACAGAGTGGGAACGCACACTCTCTCTAACCTTCGCTCCGTCTCCCTCATTCCCAACATACGCGTTCATGCCCAGCTGGTGAGCCACGGCTCTCTTAATGACAGAGGAGAAAGGAACAATGTGACTGATTTGACCGCAGCGAGGTTGAACCGCTCGATGAAACCGTCCAAATGGGCCACAGCGTGATCTCGGGAAGATATGAGCCTGCAAAGAAAGTTGGAAAGGAGTCCAGTTCCTTCTAAAAATAGCACCTATATAGATCTTGTAACCCTCAACCTGCAGGTCTTTTTCCTCTGCTGCCGCTGAGAGCTGACAGACCTGCAGGGTCAAGAGATGCAAAGATCACCCTGGGATTGGACCGGGACTTCTGATCGATAACTGAGAAGATTTATAGCCAGAATCATTTACTTCTGAAAGTGGATTCCAAGGCTTGAAAACGATTTGGATTTTTGACTTCACTGTCTGGCCATTTGGAATAGTTTACTGCGGGATGAGGTTGAACTTTTAGGCTTCATCTTTACTGGTTTTAAAAAGGTAAGGACCCCAAAAGCTTTCAAATGTTGACAACATCTTGTCAACTTGCTGAACAGAATACAGCTTCCAATTGTTTCTTTGCACTAATCTTAAGGGACATTTATCACAAAACCTGAACAAATAAAACCCTTTTGCAGGATCTGCTGTGCCGCCCCTCTAAACTCTATGGAATAGTCCTGACTTTCTTTCTGTGCATAATGAACAAAATTCTGGGAGAGCCGAGAAGATTCTTGATAGGTTGATATACTTTGGAAATCATTCCTGTCATTGTCACACAGGGTCTTCTGAGAACGACTCATTTGTTAAGGTGGATATGTGCAGCTCCAGATACCCAAACGGAAGCTGTCAATGTCACAACATACTGTTCATCTATAGCTGCAGTGATTTATGTTATGTTGCTTTGCAAAACATATAATATGCATAATATACAATAAATACCGCAACCAGCCCCTGATTGTCACAATCTGGCCCTGTGGAGATTACCGAACATATTACTGGAATATTTCATGTTTCCAACAAACCAGCCACGGAATTGATTTCAATCCGTTCAACCTCTCACGCGTGTCCCTAAAACAAAGCCGTCCCCGCCGATCACGCACGAGGCCATTGCGCGATCCGCGAGTCAACGAGATGACGCATTTGCTCCGCAGAGGCAACTTGATTGAGAGCAACAGCGAGATGGTGTGCGCCGAGCAGCACCACCTCCGGCGCTGATTCTCCAACCACAGCGACCGCGCAGCTCGCACGCACGCACGCACGCACCGACTACGGTTCCGGACGGGGCTCGTTCTCTCCACACGCCCCCCCCGTCCATACCCACCCAACGCGGTGCCGCCGGAGTCAAAGAGGCGAATGTCCACGGTGTGAATTGGCGCTGTGACGGCGGCGGCGCTCTCGCGTGGCGCATCGCGTTGATTCCGCCTCCCGAGCGTTTGGAGGAGCAGAGCTCGCCAGTGGGAAGCGGGAAGAGCCTCAGACGAGAAAACCCGCTCGCTCAAGCCACCCTGGGTGACATATATACCCCCTTCCCACGCTCATCACCCCCCACCAACCCCGAGGTTTGCTTTCACGCAGGACGGTTCAGTGTCTCTATGTTTTTCTTCTTCTAATTCTTCTCTTTTCAACGTCGATTGAAGACATCTGGACAAAGAACCCCCCAACCCCCCATCCAAAACCCCAACAACCTGCGCTTCATTTCTCGGCTTTCTGCTCATCTCCTTTGTCCCGGTGCAGCAGGTCGTGATTTTTTTTGTCTCTCTCTCTATGCAACATACTTGGATTCGCGGTGGGGGCTTTTCCTTCCATCAACGTGCATTGATGTAGCAGAAAACGTGGAGGAGATAAGGTAGGTTAAAGGCGCACGCGGAGGCTGCGTGGAGATGCTCAAAGTCTCGAGTAGCCCTCGCGCTCCCATTGTCTCGCTGCTGTTCTCGTGCCATGAAAGGAACGTTTCTTCTGACTGTTTCTCCCTTCGCAG